GCGCCCTCGCATGCACAACACAACGCTTCCCGTGCCCACACACGCTGCCCGCACACCGCCGCCGTCCCCTCCTCTACCTACGTGGCCAATCCGATCCCCGCTCCGACGCCATCCCGCATCGAACGAGACCTCCGATCATGCCGAGTGTATCTCGTCGCTACGCACTATTGACGCCGTCCCGAGCGCATTGGCCCGGGCTACCACGTCCTGCCGCCCACTCGGTGCCGTGTTCGTAGCTATAGACGTGTCGGAACACCAAACAGCGCTGGTCGAAATTGACCCGCAGCTCGCTTGAGCCCGGGGCCAGCCACACCGACTGCAGCCGGTCAGTAGGAGTCGTCGCGGGTGAGAAACAGCGCGGCAGCAGCGAGCACGATGAGCACGCCATGGTAGGCAGCGTGCCAGACACCGCAGAGCCGCAGAAACGAGTGCGGCGAGCACAGCAAAAGGACGCAAAAGTGCCGCGACCCGGGATCGAACCAGGGACCTTCAGATCTTCAGTCTGACGCTCTCCCAACTGAGCTATCGAGGCGCCAAAAGTCAAACCTACCCGCCTGCCCCCAAATTTTGCGCCCTCGCATGCACAACACAACGCTTCCCGTGCCCACACACGCTGCCCGCACACCGCCGCCGTCCCCTCCTCTACCTACGTGGCCAATCCGATCCCCGCTCCGACGCCATCCCGCATCGAACGAGACCTCCGATCATGCCGAGTGTATCTCGTCGCTACGCACTATTGACGCCGTCCCGAGCGCATTGGCCCGGGCTACCACGTCCTGCCGCCCACTCGGTGCCGTGTTCGTAGCTATAGACGTGTCGGAACACCAAACAGCGCTGGTCGAAATTGACCCGCAGCTCGCTTGAGCCCGGGGCCAGCCACACCGACTGCAGCCGGTCAGTAGGAGTCGTCGCGGGTGAGAAACAGCGCGGCAGCAGCGAGCACGATGAGCACGCCATGGTAGGCAGCGTGCCAGACACCGCAGAGCCGCAGAAACGAGTGCGGCGAGCACAGCAAAAGGACGCAAAAGTGCCGCGACCCGGGATCGAACCAGGGACCTTCAGATCTTCAGTCTGACGCTCTCCCAACTGAGCTATCGAGGCGCCAAAAGTCAAACCTACCCGCCTGCCCCCAAATTTTGCGCCCTCGCATGCACAACACAACGCTTCCCGTGCCCACACACGCTGCCCGCACACCGCCGCCGTCCCCTCCTCTACCTACGTGGCCAATCCGATCCCCGCTCCGACGCCATCCCGCATCGAACGAGACCTCCGATCATGCCGAGTGTATCTCGTCGCTACGCACTATTGACGCCGTCCCGAGCGCATTGGCCCGGGCTACCACGTCCTGCCGCCCACTCGGTGCCGTGTTCGTAGCTATACACGTGTCGGAACACCAAACAGCGCTGGTCGAAATTGACCCGCAGCTCGCTTGAGCCCGGGGCCAGCCACACCGACTGCAGCCGGTCAGTAGGAATCGTCGCGGGTGAGAAACAGCGCGGCAGCAGCGAGCACGATGGGCACGCCATGGTAGGCAGCGTGCCAGACCCGCAGAGCCGCAGAAACGAGTGCGGCGAGCACAGCAAAAGGACGCAAAAGTGCCGCGACCCGGGATCGAACCAGGGACCTTCAGATCTTCAGTCTGACGCTCTCCCAACTGAGCTATCGAGGCGCCAAAAGTCAAACCTACCCGCCTGCCCCCAAATTTTGCGCCCTCGCATGCACAACACAACGCTTCCCGTGCCCACACACGCTGCCCGCACACCGCCGCCGTCCCCTCCTCTACCTACGTGGCCAATCCGATCCCCGCTCCGACGCCATCCCGCATCGAACGAGACCTCCGATCATGCCGAGTGTATCTCGTCGCTACGCACTATTGACGCCGTCCCGAGCGCATTGGCCCGGGCTACCACGTCCTGCCGCCCACTCGGTGCCGTGTTCGTAGCTATAGACGTGTCGGAACACCAAACAGCGCTGGTCGAAATTGACCCACAGCTCGCTTGAGCCCGGGGCCAGCGACACCGACTGCAGCCGGTCAGTAGGAGTCGTCGCGGGTGAGAAACAGCGCGGCAGCAGCGAGCACGATGGGCACGCCATGGTAGGCAGCGTGCCAGACCCGCAGAGCCGCAGAAACGAGTGCGGCGAGCACAGCAAAAGGACGCAAAAGTGCCGCGACCCGGGATCGAACCAGGGACCTTCAGATCTTCAGTCTGACGCTCTCCCAACTGAGCTATCGAGGCGCCAAAAGTCAAACCTACCCGCCTGCCCCAAAATTTTGCGCCCTCGCATGCACAACACAACGCTTCCCGTGCCCACACACGCTGCCCGCACACCGCCGCCGTCCCCTCCTCTACCTACGTGGCCAATCCGATCCCCGCTCCGACGCCATCCCGCATCGAACGAGACCTCCGATCATGCCGAGTGTATCTCGTCGCTACGCACTATTGACGCCGTCCCGAGCGCATTGGCCCGGGCTACCACGTCCTGCCGCCCACTCGGTGCCGTGTTCGTAGCTATAGACGTGTCGGAACACCAAACAGCGCTGGTCGAAATTGACCCGCAGCTCGCTTGAGCCCGGGGCCAGCCACACCGACTGCAGCCGGTCAGTAGGAGTCGTCACGGGTGAGAAACAGCGCGACAGCAGCGAGCACGATGGGCACGCCATGGTAGGCAGCGTGTCAGACCCGCAGAGCCGCAGAAACGAGTGCGGCGAGCACAGCAAAAGGACGCAAAAGTGCCGCGACCCGGGATCGAACCAGGGACCTTCAGATCTTCAATGACGCTCTCCCAACTGAGCTATCGAGGCGCCAAAAGTCAAACCTACCCGCCTGCCCCCAAATTTTGCGCCCTCGCATGCACAACACAACGCTTCCCGTGCCCACACACGCTGCCCGCACACCGCCGCCGTCCCCTCCTCTACCTACGTGGCCAATCCGATCCCCGCTCCGACGCCATCCCGCATCGAACGAGACCTCCGATCATGCCGAGTGTATCTCGTCGCTACGCACTATTGACGCCGTCCCGAGCGCATTGGCCCGGGCTACCACGTCCTGCCGCCCACTCGGTGCCGTGTTCGTAGCTATACACGTGTCGGAACACCAAACAGCGCTGGTCGAAATTGACCCACAGCTCGCTTGAGCCCGGGGCCAGCCACACCGACTGCAGCCGGTCAGTAGGAGTCGTCGCGGGTGAGAAACAGCGCGGCAGCAGCGAGCACGATGGGCACGCCATGGTAGGCAGCGTGCCAGACACCGCAGAGCCGCAGAAACGAGTGCGGCGAGCACAGCAAAAGGACGCAAAAGTGCCGCGACCCGGGATCGAAACAGGGACCTTCAGATCTTCAGTGACGCTCTCCCAACTGAGCTATCGAGGCGCCAAAAGTCAAACCTACCCGCCTGCCCCAAAATTTTGCGCCCTCGCATGCACAACACAACGCTTCCCGTGCCCACACACGCTGCCCGCACACCGCCGCCGTCCCCTCCTCTACCTACGTGGCCAATCCGATCCCCGCTCCGACGCCATCCCGCATCGAACGAGACCTCCGATCATGCCGAGTGTATCTCGTCGCTACGCACTATTGACGCCGTCCCGAGCGCATTGGCCCGGGCTACCACGTCCTGCCGCCCACTCGGTGCCGTGTTCGTAGCTATACACGTGTCGGAACACCAAACAGCGCTGGTCGAAATTGACCCACAGCTCGCTTGAGCCCGGGGCCAGCCACACCGACTGCAGCCGGTCAGTAGGAATCGTCGCGGGTGAGAAACAGCGCGGCAGCAGCGAGCACGATGGGCACGCCATGGTAGGCAGCGTGCCAGACACCGCAGAGCCGCAGAAACGAGTGCGGCGAGCACAGCAAAAGGACGCAAAAGTGCCGCGACCCGGGATCGAACCAGGGACCTTCAGATCTTCAGTGACGCTCTCCCAACTGAGCTATCGAGGCGCCAAAAGTCAAACCTACCCGCCTGCCCCAAAATTTTGCGCCCTCGCATGCACAACACAACGCTTCCCGTGCCCACACACGCTGCCCGCACACCGCCGCCGTCCCCTCCTCTACCTACGTGGCCAATCCGATCCCCGCTCCGACGCCATCCCGCATCGAACGAGACCTCCGATCATGCCGAGTGTATCTCGTCGCTACGCACTATTGACGCCGTCCCGAGCGCATTGGCCCGGGCTACCACGTCCTGCCGCCCACTCGGTGCCGTGTTCGTAGCTATAGACGTGTCGGAACACCAAACAGCGCTGGTCGAAATTGACCCGCAGCTCGCTTGAGCCCGGGGCCAGCCACACCGACTGCAGCCGGTCAGTAGGAATCGTCGCGGGTGAGAAACAGCGCGGCAGCAGCAAGCACGATGGGCACGCCATGGTAGGCAGCGTGCCAGACACCGCAGAGCCGCAGAAACGAGTGCGGCGAGCACAGCAAAAGGACGCAAAAGTGCCGCGACCCGGGATCGAACCAGGGACCTTCAGATCTTCAGTGACGCTCTCCCAACTGAGCTATCGAGGCGCCAAAAGTCAAACCTACCCGCCTGCCCCAAAATTTTGCGCCCTCGCATGCACAACACAACGCTTCCCGTGCCCACACACGCTGCCCGCACACCGCCGCCGTCCCCTCCTCTACCTACGTGGCCAATCCGATCCCCGCTCCGACGCCATCCCGCATCGAACGAGACCTCCGATCATGCCGAGTGTATCTCGTCGCTACGCACTATTGACGCCGTCCCGAGCGCATTGGCCCGGGCTACCACGTCCTGCCGCCCACTCGGTGCCGTGTTCGTAGCTATAGACGTGTCGGAACACCAAACAGCGCTGGTCGAAATTGACCCGCAGCTCGCTTGAGCCCGGGGCCAGCCACACCGACTGCAGCCGGTCAGTAGGAGTCGTCGTGGGTGAGAAACAGCGCGGCAGCAGCGAGCACGATGGGCACGCCATGGTAGGCAGCGTGCCAGACACCGCAGAGCCGCAGAAACGAGTGCGGCGAGCACAGCAAAAGGACGCAAAAGTGCCGCGACCCGGGATCGAACCAGGGACCTTCAGATCTTCAGTCTGACGCTCTCCCAACTGAGCTATCGAGGCGCCAAAAGTCAAACCTACCCGCCTGCCCCAAAATTTTGCGCCCTCGCATGCACAACACAACGCTTCCCGTGCCCACACACGCTGCCCGCACACCGCCGCCGTCCCCTCCTCTACCTACGTGGCCAATCCGATCCCCGCTCCGACGCCATCCCGCATCGAACGAGACCTCCGATCATGCCGAGTGTATCTCGTCGCTACGCACTATTGACGCCGTCCCGAGCGCATTGGCCCGGGCTACCACGTCCTGCCGCCCACTCGGTGCCGTGTTCGTAGCTATAGACGTGTCGGAACACCAAACATGTAACGGGGTTACACGAGAGTTACCCGAAGGGTTACGAAGTGGGTACACACTGTGTAACTGAAATCAGTAGGAGAATCTGCACACGGCTTTAGAGCCACTGATTATGCATATGACTAGGGTTCACTATGCTAGATAGTGAACGGGATACATTTACACCGTAGGCGGCTTGGCCGCGCTAAAGAGAAATATATTCAGTTTGAGATTCACACAGTTAAGAGTTACGGGCTGAATCTTGTACGGACTCGTACGTTCTGGCATTAGAACGAGCTATCTTAAGCCGAGACTCTGTGAGTCTGTTGCGTCTTCCTCTGACGCTAAAGCTACGGCAGCCCCGCTGCACTTGGTAGCACTTGTAGTCAATCCGACACCTGAGTCTGTATAGACTGACCCTCTGTGGAGAATGAAGCAGTTCGCTCACTTGCCCCCGAACCAGCAGGATGCGCTTAAAAAGCTTATGTCCTTGCTGGGCCCGGAGGGCGTGACGCAACTTGCGCAGCAAGGCCCCGACGCGGTGAACGCGCGTCTCGAGGCGTTTTCAAGCTACGAGAATGCTCTTCTAGAGCACCTCCAGCAGAGGATGGCGGCTGCCGCGGCGCCCCAAGCGCCCCCCTTCGTCGTCCGACGCGGGAACAAGACCCAAGCCGCTCATGTTGAGCGTGAAGACCTTCGAAGGCAAGGAGGGTGAAAGCTTGATGCTTTGGACCCGTGAGGTTGAGATGGCTATGAGCTCAGCTCTACTCCGGACGGAGTCGCAGCGCGTGGCACTAGCTGTCTCGAAGCTCGGTGGGCGAGCGAGAGAGTGGGCACTAACGTCCAGGATGTCGGTCGAGGCGGCCTTCCCGACGTGGGACCAGCTGAAACAGCAATTGTCCCGAGTGTTTGCTCCGCCTAACGAGGCGTATCGCGTGCGCTCACGCTTCCTGGCGACCAGGCAGAGCAAGAAGGAGTTGATGGACTATGTCCAAGAGTTGAGAACTCTCATTGCTGGCAGCCATTATTTGCTCAGCCGGACAAAGGCGAACACGAAGTTCGCCTCAATCGCCGGCTCAGACAACTGTGGCCGCCCGTCATTGCCCAACCCAGTTATAGTTGGCGGGCGCGCTCGTTTAAATTGCTGGAAAATATGCCTTGGAGCTCGGACGGAAGGGAGTCCTTGTCGTGCTTCGACTTCAGGAACTTCACAGCCTCCTCGTAGAGCTTGTGGTGCTCGCACTGGCCAGCACCATGCACCTGCGTGCAAAACTTGCACCGCCGGAAGCACTTGTGCACCGAGTGACGTGGGTCGCCGCACGCGGCGCACGGCCCATACTCCGGACGTCCACGGCGTTCTTGGTCGTTCCATCGGCTTCGGCGGCCTTCGTCCCGACGTCCGTCGCCCGGTACATTCGCGCGACTCTGACCGTCTGATCGCTGAGTTGCGACACTCCGGCCCGTCTCAGCCACATCCATGTGATCATTTTCTGATTCATACTCGGAGTTGTATGAGCAGTCGGAATGATTGCTTCCCTCCGAGTAATCATCTGAGTCGACACGGCGACGAGGCGTGAGAGACATGCGGTCTTGCCAGGCGTCATAGAGCTCGTCGACCGACGTACTTGCGACGGTGACTCGGCGATCGTAGCGATCTTCACGTCGGCTGCGGCTATCGCCTCGGCGATCGTCCCGGTCGTTCCGACGGTCGTCACGTCTTGCGCTGTCGGCCCCCATCGCGTGATGGTTTGCGCGTGCTGCGCTTGTCTTTGCGACGTCGGTCAGCGACCATCGTGTCGTTGATCACGGCTTCCACATTGGCGATGCTGTCGAATCGTTGAGGGATCAACTGTCGGACCAGCGCATCATCGTCACAAGTGTCGAGGAAACGCTTGACATGCCTCGCGCCGACGGTGCCACCAGATCTTCGCCGAGCGAGCGTATCCATTCAGGCGCAGCAAGTAGTCGCAAATGTGCTCCCCCTCGTCCCGCGTGGCGGTGTAATATCGATCTTCGGCAGATTGGTCGTGCGCTGCGAGCAGTAGTACGCCATGAACGCCTCGCAGAGCAGGGACCACTTGTTGCGCGTCTTCTTCGGGAGCTGGCGAACCCAGTTGCTGGCTCCGCTCTCCATCAAGAGTTGGAACGGCTCACACCAGCGGTCTTGCGGGGTGTTGGTTCCTTCCATCTCGTAGATGAACTTCTTAAGCGATCGCTCACTGCGGTTTCGAGTCCCGGAAAACTTCGTCAACTGGTTCAGGGAGATGTGGTGGGTCAGCTTAACTCGCTGAGCTCCGTCTTCGTCTTCGCGCTGGTAAGATCGGTGGATCTGCGCCGTCAAGTCTTCACACGGGTCAGCGAAGTCGTAGCCCGTGTCATCGTCGTCGTCATCGCCCGCGAGCGCAGGAGGGTTGAATCGCCGACCTTCACTGTTTTTCTTCGGCGTCACCATATGCGAGCCCGCGAAGTATGGCGAGTCGGGCGCCTTGCTAAAGACTTGCTTGGTATCCGGCGTCTGCATCTGGTAGCCCGCGGAAGCCTTCCGCGGCGTCGTCGGCAGCGGAACCAGACTCGGGTCAATGTCATCCAGCTTCCGCACGGTCGTCGTTCCACGCACCCCGAAAGAGTCTTTCAGCTTGCGCTTCCACTTGGTCAGCTCGGCGCTTACCTCGGCGAGCTCCCAGACTTCCAGAGCCACCTTCGACGGGACGCTGGTGCACTCGAAGCCCATCGCCACCAGCAGACGCTTGGTCTGCTCGCTGAGTTGGAACAGGCTGGAGCTGTCGATCGGAGACGCCAGCTCTCTCTTGAGCGTCACCCACTTGGCAGCGCCGACTTCCTTCGGCGCGAACATCATCACCCACGTGCTTGTAGCGACCACCGATCGGCCGACTTGTCCCAGTATCTTGTACGCATTCGGAGTAGCTCCGTTCACCGGCGGCCGATTTCCTGTGATCGGCCGCTCATCGGGCGCCAGAACCTTGGCTGGAGTAACTTCGCCGAGTTCTGCATCAAGCCGGCGAGCGATCGGGCGCGGGGCGCCCGACTTCTCGACGACAACCGTAAGCTCGTCGACGTCTTCATCCTCCAGCATCGGCGCTGGGCCCTTCATCTCCACTTCTTTTTCACTTCCATCATCGTCAACCCCACTTCCATGATCACGATCGCCGACCCGGTCGAACTTCACTGAGCGCGGCGTGCTGGCCGTCGCCTTCGTCGCGGCGTCCGCGCTTCTCGGCCGCGCGCTTGACCTCCCTCCGGCCGTCGCCGGGCTTCCGCTTCGCGCGCTTGTCGGTGTCTTGACCATCTTCACTTGCTTGCTCGTTGACTTGAAAGGTACCTAAGTGCCACAAACACCCTGTTCCCGGGTTGCGGCACCAGTTGTGGTGTAGCAGACGTGCCAAAACTCGTTAGCTTCCCACCCCCGCACCAACAACACCAACACTAACGGGAGCGCAGGCTTGTCGGGTGATCCGAAGATCGCCCAGTCTGTTTACAGCGGTGCAGTGGTTACCCAGGCACCTGCCAAGTCGTCCCAGGAGCCGTGCCACGAGCACACAGCACGCTCCCTTCCTTCGCCGACCTATCTTGTCGCTTCTTCTTCTCCTTCTCCTTCTCTCCTTGACCCGTGCCCTCCACCAAAGGATGGACGGCGGCTCTCGCCTTTTACGGGGCGCCGATGCACAACAGCACCGGCTAAGTCGGGGGCGGGCCGAAAACACGCGCTCGTACGCTCGACGAGCTCTTCGCCAGGGGCGGAATCCAGATAACCACTACACGCACTCGCTCTTGGACTCACCGGGCGGCCGAGAACACTTCCGTCACTTCGGATAGCCGATCTCAGCGGTTGTCATAATCTAGCCCCACGGGGGCGGTCGTACCTTGAAGAGACGCCGCGTGCCGCTTGTTTAGGACCTCGAAAATTCCACTCTGTATTTATCTTTGCTTCGTTGGACTCAAAGGCCCTTCCCTGGGGTTCCTATACAAATATCTAATGAAAATGGGCTGTTACGGCCTCTCTAATACTAAAACCAAGTCTGCTCGCTCGCCGACTCTTTGCTCGGCGACCCTTGAGATCTTTGGGATCCTGCGTCGGCGAAACTCCTCCAGTTGGTGTCCGGTGTACACACTTGGGTCGGACCGGCTGCCGGACTCAGAAATCGCTATACCACATTGAAGCCAATTTAAACGATTCGGTCATGTAATATTACCTGCGCACTAGCTCAAAATAGATAAAAACCACTCAGCTTAAAAATAGATTGCGCAATAATCCCTTATGACATTCATAGTACTGACATGCTGCTCAGGCAGCTCAGACCGCCCTAACCACCCCACATTTCTCGTTCAAGAGATTATGAGCACTCCGAGTATGAGTGAAGCCGTACCCAATCCGGGGGATCGCTCGAGACCGCGTTGGGGTTGACGTAGATGAATGCAAGCATGCGGGTCTTAGCGGTCGTCAATCGTTTGTGCTTCATCAACTGAATTAAGTCCATGATGCTCCAAGCGCGTTCGCTCGCTACCGATGAAAACGGGCAAACACACGTTTGGCAAGCTTCCACGACAGCAAAAAGAAATTCTCGTTGTTCCACTACCAGGTGATAGTTTCTACTCCCTCGTTATTTTGTCAGCAGGGGGCCATCGTTGCTTTAATCTACAAAATCGTTTAGTGCACCAATGAACACTGCTCTCGTGACGCCTAACTCCTGCAATGATTCGATCCGTCCAGTGAAGTTGCAACCCTGTCTATAGGTACCGCCCATCGGTCCGAAGAATTGTTCGAATTTGTGTGGGGGTCTAGGAGAAATGCCAAGCTAGTGGTATCGGAATCACGTACTCCCATCGATCTTTAACAAGTGCATTAGTTGCCGCTTGAAGGACTGACTGCTCATCATCCGTACCATATGCATGGAGATGGCGAGAAGTCGGACAATTGCGGACTCATGTTGGCGGAGTGCTTCAATAACACATCCCAGAAATGCAGCAACTTGCTCCTGGAGAATGATACCTGACGAATATATCTCTTCACTTGGCTGAGGTTATCCTTCGGCGAAGATGAGTACTTACCCAAATCTACAAAATGCGGTTCGGCAGATAGCTTCCGGAGCTCGTTTCAGTTGTCGAAAGCCCGCACTAAACGTGCATGGAGCGCCACCGCGTGATAACAGGTACGGTCAGCATGTGTTGATGACCATTAGTTGCCTCTTTCAACGCGATCGTGAGTAAAGCGTGTTGGTCTCGGGCGTAGGTCGTAACTGCGAGCGCAGGGCGTGGACTTGTTGGGCGGTAGGCGGGGGAGCGAAGTCAACCATGCCCTCGTCTTCCGTGGCGTTGGCCGGACTTGAAACTCGTCGAGCTACAAGCCGTGGAGATCAGCGCGCTGGGTGTGGGCTGTGTGTTGATCGTCAGAGGGATCGTAGTTAGTGCTGTGGTTATACATAACGTTGATCACCACGGCTTCCCTCTATCCGCTAAACGGGGCGCAAAGGGTGAGAAGAACTTCTCGCGGAACCCCGGCAGATTTGACCATTGTAGATGAAGCTAAGACGCCGAGTCCGAGCTCGAGTTTTATCCATTTTGATTCATTTCGAGCTCACGAAGTTTAGAATGATCATAAAGTTTTGAGAATTCAGAATCCCTATTAATCTAAACCGTCGCTAGCCGATGCGCAGGGTCGTAGTGGACGTCCAGCACGGGGGCCTCCGGCGTGGCTGCTGCGCCGTGCCATTATCCTAGCCCAGAAATCACCGGATCTCAGCCTCAGTGGATACGTACCAAAACGTAGGTACAATTACTAGTTTTGGGTAATTGGGCAGGAAGAAGAGCCAGTGGTAGGCAGGATCCAAGCCGGATGGAAGGCTGGGTGCAGAATAACATAAATCGGGGTCGAGTTTGCATGGGAATCACACACGTGGCTCTTTGTATTTGGATTAGTATTGACCTATACTATAATCAAGTGATTTACCCCCGCACAGGCTGAACAGATTTTAAACCGTTTTTCACCACCTTTCGAAATGTATACGTCGTTTCAAGTACGGTAACTGTTCAAGTAGCAAACTTATGATTTATTGAGTATGCCCTTACAACGGCTTGTTTGACCATCGCCAGCTGACTGGTGTCGCAGCAGAAAAATGATGCTTAACAATGGGTTCGGGAGTCAACTGTAGCCTTCCCGATAAGTCATTTACGACACGAGTTTTGCGCTACGAGTTTCGTGGTTAAGCATTTGGTGCTGGCTTAAGCTGCGACATCCTGATAGTCGAACTTAGTGTAAGCCACATGTCTACTACACAGCAACACTACACCCCTTCAGTAACTAAATGTTTGTCAAGTGGTAAAATAAGGTTCGAATAGCCAATGACATGCAGCGAAGACGTTCACCGCCTAATATCTCGGCTTCCACCGAGTCCAACAAGGTAAGCTTGACGTGAATATTCCTCAATTTGTTTGTTACACACGTATGTCTAATATCGCTACCCAGTAATTTTTAGCGCAAACGATCTAATGGCTCAACTTACCGAGAGGTCCTAGACAGCTACAGTTGTATTCCGAAGCGATTGTTAAAATGAAGCAAAATTTGGCCGAACACCTTCAAACGCAGTTATCTCGAAAATCCAAATGATTACTAAGCACGTGGGTATTTGTATTTTCGAGATAATTGCATTTGAAGCTGGCCAGCCAGATGTTGGCCTTTCCGCATTTCCGGATATAGTAAGTTTTAAAGTGAAAAAATAAATCGAATAAAGCAGAAAACATTTTGTTCAATGCGAATTTTACGACAATAAAGTGTACGAACAAATTGAAGAACAATTATATAAATCACACGCCCCAAATAAACGTTGAGGTCCGAAGCGATATCGCTCCTCAAGTTCTCAACATTTCAATTACTTACTGTCGATTTGTCAGTACGGTTTTCGTAGTTAGATGAAACCCCAACTGATGTGGCGCACTGTGCTACACCATCGCTACACCAACCTTCCGTGCGCACATCACATCCCGCCGGCAAGCCCCGCCAATCAAGGAGGCGACTGCGATTGTCTATGTCGAGCTGTGGCCCATACAAACGGCCATAGTACGCGGAGAGCGCAGTGGGATTGGCCACTCGTTTGGTGCTTGGGAGCCCCCTGACCGCTCCTCCCGAAAATTACATGTTAGCTGTAATAGTTACACAACGTTGCAACATCTGGTTGATGCAGTTATTCATTCGATTTTTTAGTGCTAAACAGACATGAAAATATGCAATTTAATATGGTGGCTAATTTTTCTCTCATGCTTAACTGGGCGTCCCTTCATGAATGTACATGACAGGTCGGAAACCTGTGATTTCGGCGAATTTAACTCTTCAATGAGAGGAACATTGCCGTTGAGACCGACATGGATAGAACGCCCTGCATCTAGCTTAGGTAATACCGCTGTATGAAGCGCTAAATGTATGTAGATCTCGAGCGATTTATCCTCAAAGTTGGCGTTGCCTGGCGCCTCTGCGATGTTTCTTACCGTTATTTATGCAGCATATAAAAAGCTATATGTATTTGTGTGACCTTTCAGGTTGGAATGAAAGATCGCGAATTACTAGCGATAAGATGACACAAATAGTAAGGGGGGGGGGGCTACGCTCCATGTCCTCGTTGCCGAACGGGGCAAGAAAAGGAGAAGCCACTTTGGCATTACTCCTTTGATGGACATATTAGTAGATAAGCAAAGTTTCAGCATTCCTAGACCCGCCAGGAAAAACCGAATTTATTCTTTTCCCGAGATCCCGTACATTGTTGAAGGAACGTCCAGTTAAAAAAAAGAGAAAACGTAGCTACGACAAATGATCTCCCATACCTTGAGAGCTACCTTCACTATGCTAGCGGTTGATGTGGGTTTCGCCCTCCGTCTTGGCCTCGTCCTCGTTGATGGCCACTGGTGTCTGTCTCGGTTTCTTGCGCTTGGACGAACCCGTCGACGACTTGCGTTTTGCCTTCTGGGGAGGTGGGGTGATGGCGGGGATGTCTGCACTTGCCATACACTGTCCGTACTCTGCCTGCGCACCTCCAGCGAATGCGTGCGATTCATGGCCTTGGTCTTCCCCGTTGTGCATCGGGTCCTGCACGGCTGGCTTAATGATTTCCTGCACAAAGGCATCGAGAGTCATAGTAAGCTGGGCCGTGCTTACTTTCGTCTCCGCCACCCTTTTTTTTAGGTCCGCATTCTCTGCTCCCAACTCATCCACCCTCGTCTCGAGGTCTGACTTTGCAGTCTCCAGTGTCTCCACCTTCTTCTCGAGCAGTCTCCAGCACTTCGATCCTGCGCTTCATGTCACCCATGGTGTTTTCGACTTCGCGTTGCCAACTTTCTGTCGTTGCACTCACAGCCTCTGCACCCGGCTCGTCACGTTCTGCCACGCCAGCGGCGGTAGCCGCGTTGGTCGTCCCAGCACGTGCACGCGCAGCTGCCGTGCCATCCAGAGTAGCAATAGCAGCGGCAACGGCCGATACCGCCGCTGCGATGTCATCCAGAACAGCCTCCAGCCCATACCGCTTCCGGAATCGCATGGGCCACGTCGACCACACTTTGGGCTCCTCACCCTAGCCCACCGTACTGTAGAGGAAGTCGCATGCTAGTCGCTTCAGCGCGTCGTTGTGTAGATTCGGTTGTGGATCAGCCTTCAGCTGACCCAATACGTACTTGTCCAGCTACGGAGTTTTGGATGGAGTGACCCGCGTGACGTACGGGTTGGTGCACAATTGATCAGGTGACTCCACGATTCCCTTCAACGTCGTCTGCGAGATGAGACCGTACCTGAGGGACTGCAGTGGGGTTACGCGAAAGCGCTACATAATATCCTAGCCTAAGCTCGTGGCTAGTGGTACAGGTTTTTGGGTTGACCGAACACAACCTAAGGTGCACAGAGGCGCTTGCAACCGACCCGGTGTAAGGGATCGTTCCTGGTCTTCAGGTTTTGATCCAATAAGCGCTTACTTTTGCGGGTTAGCGTGTTGTTGGTGTCTCTAATACCTTTTGGTAGAGGAGGATTTTAGTGGAATTACCACCCCACAACTGGTGCCGCGACCTGGGATTGGTGTGACCTTCTGTGTGTCTTGGTTGTTGTAGGTCTTTACCCCCAACGAGCGAAGAGAAGAAGAAGAAGAAGAAGAAGAGAGAAGATGGCGAAGGGGGTCAAGTCAGCGGTACCAGCAACGCCGGCCAAGTCGAGTGGAACGCGCAACGAGACTTCGGTGCGCTCCGGAAGCTCATTATCGACCCCAACGACGGATCGGATGGAGTCGATAGACGAGCGTTCGGTGAGCTACGACACGGCGATTGATTCCTCGGACGCCAAAGAAGATGACGAAGATGATGACTGGGATGTCCGGACGGCGATGTCCGAGACTTCGGAAGCTGCGGTTGTGTCGGCAGGTCGCAGTGGAGGATCAAGGTCGATTAACCGCGACCTCTCCGACACGTTCAAGGACATGCCGGGCCCCGAGCCCTCCTACGACGCGGATGACGGCGCCACCGAGGACTTCAAACCCTCGGTGACGGTAGGAGGGGCAACCTCCAAGCCGGTTGGCACTCGTCCTCCCCTCAACGGGGATAATCCGGCGGCCAACAAGGTCCTAGGCCGGTGCCTAGACCTGATGAAGACCAAGAGCGAATGGATGCAGTTGTTCTCCCCGAAGCAAGTCCGCCAGGCCATCTGGATGGACCTCGGAGGGGCGTTGGCTACGCCGATCAACTCAACGAGCACTCGGCACGTTGCGCAGAATACTGTGGGCCTCCTGCGAGCTATGGGGTGCGAACCCCAGATCCTCCCCACGGAGGCTGCGCTCGCGAGTTGGACGCCGACCGCCGCTACCACAGCGTTAACCAAGTGGAGGAAGAAGCTGCGTAATGCCTTTGGAGTGGCGGACGTCAGTTCGCGAGGCCCAACGATGCTTCGTTCGACCTCGGAGGCAGTAGACCCGTCGAAGGTCCCGCTACCAGCGACCCCTCGGAAGGGAGCCACTGATGACGGTGTCTTTGCAACCAAGGGCGAAGCCTCGCCGTACATGCAAGACTCGCACATGGTAACTCCACGATCTACGGACCGTAGTGAACGTTTGGCTAGGGAGAACGAGGCTTCATTCGCCACGCCTGGCACGCGCGGAGCGACTGGTCGTCGGTCCCGCCGACGTTACGACCTCCAAGATGATTCGTCGGACAGCGACGACGACCTCGGGTCCGACTACTACGAAGGGGACCTACCGAGTGAATGGGCACGTCAGGTGCGCGAGCTAAGCGCGACCGACAACCAGAGCTCAACCCCAAAGCTCGAGATCGCCACGCATTTGCCTCTCGCCAACATCAAGCCGTTCTACGGAACGCGCGACAAGAGCGAGCACTCCATGCAGTGGCTCCGAACGTTCATCTATGAGATGAAGGGAACGCATGCACCACCCAACGAGTGGTGTATGCCGTTCGAACTTAAGCTCAGGGATGGAGCCCAGCACTGGTGTCGTCCGCTCCCACGCAAGACAAGACGCACGTGGAAGTTGCTGAGCGAGGCGTTCATCGAGTACTATTGCTCGAAGTTTTCCCAGTCTGCGAAGGCTCGGTACTACTCGGCAAGACAAGGAACACGTTTGTGAATACCTCAACTGGCTCAACGGCTACGCTCGCAACGCCGGTGTGCAATTTGAAAACGGTGGTCGTGACATGAAGGACCACGTGGACCACTTCTTGGTCACGTGTGACGACCGAAACTTAGAAGACCGTCTGTGCCACGTCCGGGTCAAGAGCATCCATGACCTCGAAGACATGATCAACGACATCCTGCGTCACCGTGACCGCAAATCGAACCGAGAATTGTCGTTCCGCCGCTCTCGGAGTCAAGATGATGGACGTCGACGCGATGCGAGGTCGAACGAGGATTCTCGGGGTGGCTACCGCCGCGAACGACGCTACCACGACGAAGACCGTCGCGAACGACGTCGCCGTGACAACGACCGCTGCAACGACCGCAGTGAAGACGACCGTCGCCGTGACCGACGCGATGAATCGCCGTACCAGTCCCGAGTCACTTTGGTTGACGCGCTGGCCGATGTGATGACGGAATGGAACGTCGGAGGCTCGGTCGGTGCACGCAACGAGGCTCCATACGCCCCCCGACGTGATGCTGAGACGAACGAGGATTACTTCGAGGATGAGCGCCAATACTCGGACGACCAACGCTCGGACGAGGATTCAGACGCTGATTACGACTCGGATGGGTCTACCGGACATGTCGCTGCTGCTAACGATGCTGAGCGCAGGGCCGCAGCCGAAGGAACGTTCGCTCGGTCTGATAACCGACGCTTCAGGAACGAAGGAGGCCCGTCCAACCGTGAACGAGATGGTCGACGCCAGTATGGGCCGTGTGCCGCGTGCGGAAGCCCGTCCCACTCGGTGCACTTCTGCTACCGGCGGTGCAAACAGGTGCACGACGCTGGGAAGTGTGAAGCACTCCACGAGCTCACCAAGCTCCTGAAGTCCAAGGTCGACAAGAAGGATCTGTCGCCAGAGCTGCAAAGCCTGGTGTATGGAAGCCATTTAAACTAGGCAGCCCACCAACTGAAACTGGGTTGGGCCCAATCGGGCTGCCACAGTTAGCTGAGCCTGCTGTTGATGCGGACTATCTGTTCGCGTTCGCGGGCGAAAGCAAACGGCCTGACGACCTGAAGAACAATGAACGTGTGAAACCGACGGAAAATGGAGAGAACCGGGACGCAAGTCTCGTTGCGATTGGTATTGATGAAGATGATGATGATGAACGTGATGGACACCCGACCGAGGCTTTGATCACAAGTCTAGCCCAGATAAGGGGACCACTTCGGAACCTCGTTCGGGCGGTGAGATTACTGCCCGGTGAGAGACTGGGGTGGTGGTCGTCCCAACGATACTACAAGAGGAAGCGAATGAGGGCTTTGGTCAATGGCGCAGTGGACGACGCGCGAACGAGGATACTCCTTGACACTGGAGCGAATGTTAGCGTGATTTCTGCCAGCTTTGCCAAGCGGCTACGTGTGCGAGAAGTCCGGGACAACGGACGAAGTCTCGAAGTCCGCGGCATCAACCCAGGGGTGATGGAGACCCGGCGACGGGCGCTCGTCAAGATCCCCCTCGGGTGGGAGCAGGTTTACGAATTTGAAATGTGGATAATGGATCACAGTGCCGGGGTGGATGTGGTCCTTGGGATGGACTTCATGATCCCGGCTGGAATCCGGCTGGATCTATTTCATGGCACCGCACGCCTTCCGGACGAGGTCATGGTACCACTGCTAAAGTCGCAGAGTGCTGAAGATGACGAACCTTACGGCACGCAGCCTTCGTGTGGGCCGATCGAGGATCTATACGTACCCGGTCGCGAGTGGCGAGAGTTTCGACTGCCGCGCCAGCGGCTACCTCGTTCGGAGTACGATGTGTGGGTACGACGCACGGGCAAGCTCGTGCCGACCGTAACGAGGTTTCGACGGGGGCAGCCGACGTGTGTACGGCTCGCCAATATTACGACCACAGCGGCACAGTGCGCCAAGCATGACTCCGTGGTGCTGTGGGTACCGCATGGTGAACTACCGCGAGAGACCGGCTACGCGAGGTTGGACTCTAACAAGTACAAAGAGTGGCAGGTGTTGGCCTATTCAACGAGTCGTGATGAGACTCTGCAAGGACGAGAACGTCGTCTCTACGAGCAATGGTTGGCTGAACAGCCGCCTGCGGTCGAGCGCCGAACTTACCCGACGCCGCGAAAGATCCTGCCGAGGCCACCGGATGCACCGCCATGGCCAGAAGGCCGTCAACAAGCTCCGTTGGATGATGAGTACTCGTCACCCGATGTACATGGCTACGACGACGACCCCAGGGTCAGTGAAGGCTCGGTCGATGTCGCTCGAGCTGATACAACCGATGTGGATCGTGCTGGTGGGTCGAACGATGGTTCGGACGACGAGGCCAGCGCGTCGGATGACTCGGACGTACCCGGAGACTCGCCGCCTAGCCGAGTGGGTTGCCTGCCCGTGAATCCGAACAGTGGTGCTGACTCCACCGGCCAGGGAGCGACATACGCCTCGGTTGAGGCATCGGAAGCCAGTGATGAGCTGAGTGATGGTGACAGCGTGACGAACGACGGTTCGGAGGATGACCGCGACGTGGTAGCAGTGGCCGAGACAACTACATGGGATGTCCTGCCAACAGGGACCGCTGCGTCCAGCCTGGAGCTAGAGGAAACGTCGGCTGCGGTGTGTAGTAGCGAAGTCGACTGGGGTGAACACGACCCAGGGCCTAACGACGTTCCTACTGAAGCCGGAACCTCCACCGCTGACGCCGACACTGAATTCCATGATTCGGATCTAAGTGCGATCGACGACCCCGAGCAGCTACTGGAGGCGACCTATATCTCGGTCATGCATGCCATGGTTGCAGAAGGGTCTGGCGAAGGTGATGACACCGTGAACGACGTTTCGGAGCACGTCGCGAACGAGATTGAGCTTACCGACTACGCGCAAGAGCTGGCGTTCTTGCCGGACCTAACCGAAGCGTCGGAGACGACGCTGGACTACTCGTGGCAAAACGTCCAGAGTGACGAACTCAGCGAGAAGCAGCACACGGCCCTGGTCGATGTACTGAAGAGCCACGAGAAGATCATGATTGCGAGCGGTAACGCCCTGCCGCCTCCAGCCTACGGGGTCGTGTGTGACATCAATGTACAGGGGCGCGCGCCAATCAAGCAGAAGGCTCGGCGAACCCCGCTTCGCTTCCTCGGTAAGCTGTACGAATTGCTGAAGGGTCAGCTGAAGGCCGGGCTTATCTACTTCTCGGACAGCCCATGGGCGTCGCCAATCGTCATCGTCCTGAAGAAGAATGGGGTGGATATCCGCCTGTGTATCGACTACAAACTCGTTAATGCGATCACCGAGATTATGGATTACGCCATACCCCTGGTGGATGACTTGCTGACGGACATGGAGGCGTACTTGTGGTTTTGCTCGCTTGACGCCGCTAGCGACTTCTGGGCCATTATGATGACCGAACGAGCTCGGAAGATCTCTGCTTTCGTCTGCGCACTGGGGCACTTCGGATGGTTGCGTGTGCCTTTAGGCCTGAAGAACGCACCGATGATCTATCAACGCATGATTGACAACGGGCTTTGGGGCTTCGTCCAACCGACGGGGGGATGGCTTAAATTCTCGGAGCGCATGCGTCTAGCTGAAGAACATGACATGGAAGCTCATGCTGGGGTGAACGAGGCTTCGACTGGCACGGCAAAGCCATTCCGGACCAAGTTCGAGGCCGACCGAGATAACTCGCTTGGTAAGGGAGCTGTAGCCGAACTGGTCAACAGCCCTATCGCCGACATGTTCGCCAACGGGGAGCCCGATGATTCCTCGTTGACACCAGTATTCAGTCGCCGTCATTCGTGGATGATATCTGTTTCGGTGCCGAGACTTTCGAGTCGTGCTTGGCGACGCTAGACCGATTGCTGGCACGGTTTGAAGAGTGCCGTATTAGTATCAGCTTCACGAAGAGCATCTTTGTGCAGTCCAAGGTAGACTTCCTGTCCCACGAAGTCTCGGCAGAAGGTATCCGACCGGACGCTAAGAAGCTGGCTGGGGTGGCCGAGCTTCCGTTCCCGTCAACGAGGAAATGAATGCAGTCCTTCCTTGGGGCACTCAACTATTACAGTCGCTTTATCCAACACTTCGCGGTCTATGGAGCAGCGCTATACCAGCTTAAGGACGAGGACTTCCAGCCCGGGGGTGGCCTCACCGCGGCCAAGCACAGCTTCGCGATGCTCCAACAGAAGGTTTCGGCAGCACCGATACTACGACACTTCGACCGGAAGAAGGAAGTGCATGTCATGTTGTTCGCCAACCAGTGGGCTTTAAGTTCCACGTTGATGCAAGAGCACGAGGGCAAACTACACCCCGTTCGCTTCTGCGGACGTGTTTTGAAGGATGCTGAGATGAATTATCACCCGGCCGAGAAAGAGGTCCTCGCGCTTCTGCTGATACTGAAGGTGTGTTATACTCAACTCGTTGGACAGCGAATCCGGGTCTACACTCGGTATTCGACACTCGACTGGGTCCACAAGTCCAAGACATTGTTCGGTCGGGCTACCCAGTTCGCCGTCTTGCTGTCGCCGTGGCACCTGTTGGTCGAACGAGTCAAAGAAACGGACTGTTCGTTTGATCAGCTACTTGAAGCCGGCTAGACGAACTTCGTTGACTTGGATAAGTCACTGGCGTTGGTCACACCCCGGACACGGGGGTCACCAACTGCTCGTTTGGACCCGCATCTGCTCTACGCACGCCTACCGCGGTCCTACCGAGGCTTCGTTATGTCGTTTGACGGGTCTGCGAAGACCGAGAAGAACGGTGGATACGGCAGTTGCTCGTGGATACTATGGAAGCTACCAGAGTGGACAGTAGTGCTTGCTGCGAGCGCTTACCTCGATAACACCACGGTCAACCTCGCTGAGTACACCGGGATGAACAACGGCGTCTCTGCTGCATTACAGTATGGAGCCGACGATCTAGTTGTCGTTGGCGACTCGAGGCTCGCGATCCAGCAAGCCCTAGGGATGATAGCCTGTCGGAAGGAGTCATTGCTGCAACAGCTCAGCTCAGCCACCACCAAGAACTCACGGCCAACCTTCGGTCGGTGAAGTACCTGCATGTGGTGAGAGAGTTTAATGCTGCGGCCGACTCTCTGGCAAGCGAGACTCTCGAGTGCAAGGAGTCTACGGTGGTATCGTCGGACGACCGAGTATTAAAGCTGATGAAGCTGAACCGTATCGCTGAAGTCATCTACGAGGCTGCTGACGGTTGCGTCGTCGAGGACATACCCTCGGCCAACACAGTATGGGCCGTGGTAGCTTCTGCCAAACCTCGTAGCAAGAATTTTTTCGATTTTGTGCGAAGAGAAACCGACCGCAGACGGCAGAACGAGACTGAACCCGGACACGTAGCTGTGATGACCAGACGTCAAACGAGAGCAAAGGAGAAACACGTCCGGTTTGCAGATGAAGTCTCGGTCACCGATCAGGGAGACGCATCTCACCGAGTAGAAGCCAATGGTGTGCCGAACGAGTCTCAGAATGAAGCAGAAGCTTCACCGCTGCGTGCCGAGACTTCACCAGCCCCACCGAACGCAGAAGACATTGACCCGCTGGTAGTACAGGAAGAACGCCGAAGGAGAATCGCCTCCGCTCAAGATGAAGAGTTACGGTGGTTGAATCTGAAGGCAGTGCTCCGGGGAGATGATGCGAAGATTGGATACAGAACAGCATGAGATGCATGGAAAATGGCGGACCAATTTGTGTTGAGCGAGGACGATGTGCTATATTACACAAGAACGAGCCGTCGTTCAAGTTGCACAGAGGCGCTTGCAACCGACCCGGTGTAAGGGATCGTTCCTGGTCTTCAGGTTTTGATCCAATAAGCGCTTACCTTTGCGGGTTAGCGTGTTGTTGGTGTCTCTAATACCTTTTGGTAGAGGAGGATTTTAGTGGAATTACCACCCCACACTTCAGCACGTCGTTGTGTAGATTCGGCTCAGCCTTCAGCTGACCCAATACATACTTGTCCAGCTCCGGGATTTCGATCGAGTGACCCGTTTGGCGTGCGGGTTTGCGCACACTTGGTCAGGCGACTCCACGATCTCCTTCAACGGCGTTTGCCAGATGAGGCCGTATCGTGGAGTCACCCAGTCGCAAAGCCGATCAAGGTCAAAGCTTGACCCCATTTCGCGAGCACGCTTCCTGATCTTGTTCTTTCTGTATGCCTGTGTGTCTGCCCGACGACTTCTTGATCACTACACTCTAGCCAAATGCTGTCCTCTTGGTCGAAGCGAGCCTTGCCGGTCGGCGTCATCCAGATCCGCGCGTGCGTGCTGTGCGTGTTGGTGTGTCTCTCATAGCACTTTGGCGACGGCAGCAACACAAGCATGACCCGCTACTTTAACAAGTACGGGCTATACGATTATTCGGTGGGGCTTATAACCAGCGTAACACCGGAGGACAACGGGCTGGTGTACACAAAGATCAACTTGCTGTTCAACCTGAAACCCGCTGAGATCGAGATGTATCGGGATACACACGTACACAAATGCGGGTATACAAGTCGCAACTTCGGTATTCGAGGCGTCGAGCTGGGGAGCGAGCTAATCGACGGACACGGCTTTCCTGAGGGCGAAGTCGACTTATAACTCCGGGCTACGTCATCGGCTTGATCCAGCGTGAGACCAGCAGATGAAGTGCGAGCAGGAGCTGCGGATGTTCTTATTCGCTCTGAAAACACTTCAAATAAATAAATAAATATCTATTTTTACCAATTACTTACGTACAGTACCTTACGAATCAATTTTAAATTTCGGACCCTAGACATAATGTACCTTAAATGCATACATTTAGGTCCGAAATTTCAACTTGTTAGGCGCCGTCCCCACATTCTAAACCCGATTTCAGCCCTATTTTTAAATATATGTTGCTCCAAGTAGTGTACTCGATCAAGTGAAAAATTCGTGACTTATTTCAGCAAGTCCTTACAGCTTGTTGTTTGACCAATTGACACCGCCGGCTGACTGGTGCAATAGGAACCAACAAGGTTTCGTCTTATTACAGAACTTTAGTTGCTGGATATATCCGGGTTTGGATCAAGAAAATTCTGATAATAGCCGGATAGATTACGGATAAATTACCAGCGGATGTTCCAATACTCAAGTCCAGTGGAACAACGCGACCCTTCGTTGTTCATATTTTGGCCCAAGCTTTTGGGTTCCAAAACTTCGATTTAGTCCAGTAATTAAAGTTCTCAAATTGCGTTGAAGCTGATCTGTCAATTTTCCGGCTTTCCGGATATCAGAACATTACCTGCTTGGTGAAGCCACTGCAGGTGGGCTGCGGGTGGGTAAGGTCGAATTTGAGTCAAATATTTTATTAATGAACACAGGGCTTACTCCATCTTACAGTACATTTTGTGATATTCGAAATGAAGGTGGTCATGTGGTTTGGTTCACCCTACGGCGCTACAGTGCCTACAGTAATTAGTCTGGGCTCAAAAGTAGTCTGGCTTCAAAATTAGCCTGGCCCAGTCTGGCCAAGACTAATTCGTGTCGAGCAAAAATTGGCGTCTTCACTATTATATTAATCTGGCTAAAAATGCTCATAATTAGTCTGTCGTGGTGGCCACGATTCTAGTCCATCTCTACCAACTTTGATGCATCGCTAGTTGAAAAGTCACTTGACAGCAGCCAACTTACCAGATCTCGTGCACACAGAACCTGATATTTGCAAAATATAATAGATACCTGAGTGAACAAGGCATCCAACCCATAGATTAGCCTTATCTAACCATTAGAGAAGCAGCATCTGCGATGATTTAGTCTTTATTTCTCTTCAAAGCCGCGATAAAGTATAGCTATACTATAAAAATAATCGAAAAATACGTATAAACGTATCATTTCACAAACAAAATGCTTTCCTTACTGGAAAACGGACATTTTAGATATTTATAATTAGTCTGAAGTTTCAAAATTAGTCTGTCACTGTTGGCGCCAGACTAATAATTGTGCGCAGTGAAAAATCTGCTATTCAGATTTAGTCTGGGCCAGAATCATTACTGTAGGTACTATAGCTATCGAAGGTTGAGCGCTTGCACTGAGCGTTTTATTTACAATAGGGGTTATTGCCGCTTGCAAATACTTTGCCCTCTAAAATAGACCTCTAAAATAGACCACGCCTGTCTCTTAATATGAGTGGACACGAGATAGGCGAGGGCTGATTTAGCTTTATGCTTTGCTGGGGGCCGCTTTTAGGCCCAGAAACTCGGTTTGGCCCGTCTAGAATGGCATTTCTGCGTTTCCAAGTCGTAGAAAAGCGCCTTGGTCGAGAAAACAGAGCCCCAAGCTCGGATCTTAGACCGTACTGGCGATATATATAAATCAGACCTAGGTCTTAATTAAGAGCTGGCTGGATTAAAATCGAGATTACTAACGAGATAATAAGCATGCGTTGGCCAAAATATCTGCAAACGGCAATTGAATACAAAACAATCCCGATTCGTACTTAGTATCTCAAATGATGTGGCGCACCGCGCTACACCATCGCTACACCAAATTTCCGTGTGCACATCACATCCCGCCGGCAAGCCCCACCCATCAAGGAGCCGACTGCGATTGTCTATGTCGAGCTGCGGCCCATACAAACGGCCATAGTACGCGGAGAGCGCAGTGGGATTGGCCACTCGTTTGGTGCTTGGGAGCCCCAGACAATGGGGCATTTCCGCATAATAGGTGTGAGCCACCAACCTACACTCGCAACATGATGCGCCGCGTTCTCCTGAGCCGCTCCATGCAGGCCCTGGCCTCCGCCGCGGGCGCCGAGCGCCGCGTGGCCCCGCTGCTGCGCCGCGCGTTCTCGTCGGCGCTGCCCGAGGGCGTGTCGCCGCTGACGATGCCATCGCTGTCGCCCACGATGGAGACGGGCTCGCTGTCCGCGTGGCTCAAGAAGGAGGGCGAGGAGGTGCACGCCGGCGAGGTGCTGTGCCAGGTGGAGACGGACAAGGCCGTGGTGGACTACGAGATGCAGGACGACGCCGTCGTGGCCAAGATCGTGTGCGCCGAGGGCGCCGCCGACCTGCCCATCGGCGCGCTGCTCGCCTACACGGTGGAGGACCTGGACACGTACAAGCAGCTGCTGGAGAGCGGCCAGCTCGCCAACCTGTCGGCCGAGGCCGCGCCCGCTGCGGAGCCGGAGGCGCCCATCGCTGCTGCTGCCCCTGCTGCTCCTGCCCCGGCCGCTGCGCAGCCTGAGGCCTCGCACAGCGGCCGCGTGCCGCTCATCAAGTTCCTCGGCAAGCGCGCGCTCATCCCCGAGTTCAACCACTCGCCCCTGGAGCAGCCCGCCAAGCCCGCCGCCGCTGCTCCCGCCCAGCCCGTGGCCGCTGCCGCCCCCGCCGTGGCTGCCGACGCCGAGTACGAGGACCTGCCGCTGTCCAACATGCGCAAGATCATCGCCAAGCGCCTCACTGCCTCCAAGCAGGAGGTGCCGCACAGCTACACGAGCATCGACTGCGAGATCGACAACATCCTGAAGCTGCGCAAGCAGCTCAAGGGCAAGCACGACGTCAAGGTCGGCATGAACGACTTCATTCTCAAGGCCGTGGCGCTCGCGCTGCGCGACGTGCCCGAGGCCAACTGCTTCTTCGACGTCAAGACCCAGAGCGTCAAGCCCAACCCGTCCGTGGACGTGTCGGTGGCCGTGGCCACCCCCACGGGCCTCATCACCCCCATCGTGCCCAAGGTGGACACCCTCGGCCTGAGCGGCGTCAACCGCATATTTATGGAGCTCGTCTCGCGCGCGCGCCAGAACAAGCTCAAGCCCGAGGAGTTCCAGGGCGGCTCCTTCACCGTGTCCAACCTCGGCAGCTTCGGCATCGACCAGTTCCGCGCCGTGATCAACCCGCCGCAGGCCTGCATCCTGGCCGTCGGCGGTGGCCGCAGGGAGGTGCTGCCGCCGCTTGAGATCGTGGAGGGTGTGAACCCGGAGCCGCGTCTCGCCACGGTCATGAACGTGACGCTGTCGTCGGACCGTCGCGTGGTGGACGGCGTCATCGCCGGCCAGTTCCTGCAGGTGTTCAAGGCGTACATGGAGAGCCCCGAGCTCATGGTCCTGTAAGCAGCCCCCCCGATGTGTAGAGCGCTAGATCAATCAGCTCGCCACCTTCAATAGCAGACGGCACGGAGAGCGTGAAGCGAGTTCCATGTTGGAAGACGAAGCTTCTGGAAGAAGAAAAAAATAACGGAGCTTCTGGCGTCCAAGACACGGCAACCCGACCTGAAGGATAGGGAGAGTAGTGTCCCGTCGTCCTGAGCGATAACAAGGGCGTACGTACAATGTCTCCCCGTGTTCAACTCTGTCTCGATCATTATTGCATTGCCCGCTTCCGTTCTTGTGTGTCCGTTGCTCTGCTCTGCTGGAAATAGCAGGAGTCTTATGGCGTCGAGTGCCCAGGTCTAGGAAGCAGTGGTGCGTTCTTGAAGTTGCTTCGAGGCGGGGTGAGCGCGTGTCTTCATTGCGTGAGGAGGTGTATTCTTGTCTGCTCTGCCTTGCTCTGCAGCTTCAGCCGCATCTAATTCCGGCAGGAACTTGATGCTTGCGCTCAAACTTTTCACACCGCGTGGCCATTGCTAATTCTGCGTTGGGAGCGAGTGCGTCTGCGTCATGGCGAGCATCCAGCGGAACGAAAACCCCGAGGATGTGTACGAAGTACTGGAACGCATCGGTGAAGGGTGAGCGAGCACCTATTCATTCATCCATCAAAAACTCGACTCCACTCCTCTGTCTCAAATTGTCGAGGTCTTTGCTAATGCTTATGCGCATTTTTGTGGTGATGTAGGTCCTACGGCAAGGTCTACAAGGCTGTGAACAAATTGAGCGCCGAAGTCTTGGCGCTCAAGGTGGTGCCCGTGGAGAGCGAGGACCGAGATGCGTTCGATGAGCTCACGCGCGAAATCCGCATCCTGGAACGCTGCGAGTCGCCGTTCGTGGTGCAGTACTGCGGCAGCTTCTCGTACGAGTCGCAGCTCTGGATCGCCATGGAGTTCTGCGCTGCCGGGTCACTCGCCGACCTGCACGTACTGCGCGGACGTCATGTGCTGAGTGAGGCGGAGATCGCTGCTGTTTGCGCCAATGTCGCGCTGGGACTCGCGCACTTGCACTCCCGAGGGCTGATCCACCGCGACATCAAGGCTGGCAACTTGCTGCTGAACGGCGACGGAGTGGCCAAGCTGGCGGACTTTGGCGTGTCGGCGCAGCTCACTGCAACCGTAGGCAAGCGGCGTACTGTGATCGGAACACCATTCTGGATGGCACCCGAAGTGATCCAGGAAGCTCAGTACGACTGCAAGGCCGACCTCTGGTCGCTGGGTATCACGGCGCTCGAGTTGGCCGAAGGAGAACCACCACTAGCCCACATGCACCCAATGCGCGCTATCTTCCTGATCCCGAACCGCGCACCGCCCGAGCTTCGTGAGCCTCACAAGTACTCGGCCGAGTTCCGCGACTTCCTGGCTGTTTGTTTGAAGAAGGACCCACAGGAGCGCGCCTCGGCCCAAGACTTGCTGCGCCACCCTTTCATCGCTCGCAATGTCGAGCGACTGCGTGCTAACTCCGATCGTTCGGCGGCAAGTGGCACGCGCATGGCTGGGCTACCCGTGCTTCAAGAACTGGTCGAGCAAAGTTTGGAGCTTGTGCAGGAGGCTCGACTGCGGGGTGTCGAGGATGAAGCCGAGTTCCGTGGTGCCGCCACAGGCCGCCCCGATGGCTCGCTGTCGGTTGCAGACATCAGCACCATGCTGCGCAATGGCTCCATCATTAGCAGCGGCACTGGTGGGTTTGGAGGCTTTGGAGGTTCGGATACTGCTGTGGGCTTTTCGTCCGTCCGCCGTTCTTCGAGCGACACGGCGTCCTCACTGGGCTACGGGAGCTTTGGAGGCGGCACCACCGTCTTCTCTTCCAGTGCCTCTGCAGACGACGAAAGCTGCGGCACGATGGTGTACAGAGGTGATGACAACAAGTCCACTAACTCCACTATGGACAGCACCAGTTCCGAGACCCGAGAGAGGGAGATCACGTCCAGCGACTTGTACGGCACCATGATCCCCGTGGCAGCATCAAGCACTGTCCGTCCACCTCCAGCTCCCGTCATGCCAGCCTCCAACTCCAGAACAAGCAGTCGCAGCAGTAGCCGCGGCAGCAGCCAAGGTGAATCCGCTCGACCCGAGGCCGAAAGCAACGAGCCTTCCTTCATGAAGTACTTCCGACGAATCACCAGTTCCTCCTCCAAGTCGGCCACGATTCGTGCGGCTGGCCCTGCGGCGGAGGCTTCCGTGGCTTCACTACGATCTGTGCAGCAGAAGCTTCGCCAACTCGAGGAAGACTACGAACGTGACCGTCAAGAACTTGCTCGACGCTTTGAGAAGCAAAAGGCCGAGCTGGAACGCCAGCTCGAAGACTCGAGTCTCCAAGGCTAAGACGGCCAGCTACTACGAATGATAACACCAATTGAAATATATTATGATGCGATGAAAGTTGACATCTTGATCGTTTTCCTAGGCGTCTAGGCCTCGAGTGTCATGACGTTGGCTCCACCCACGTCATAATGCGCGATGTCAGTGCGTCCGTCAAAGAGGTCCTGCCCCACACCTCCGACGCCTCCACCGTTCCGGTTCGCGTTGCCATTTCCTTGGTTTTCTTGCTGAGCGAGACGCGCTTTGCAGGAAAGCAGCTGCAGCAATCCTTCGAACATCTCTCGCTGCTGCTTCTTGGCTGGGGCCGAAGTCTTGAGCGCCTTCTGCTGCTTGCGCAGCTCCTTGGTGAGGGATTCCTGTTGAGCCACTTTGTGCTTGTAGAGCTCCTGGAAGGAGCGGATGTCTCGAAGCAGACGAGCGTTCGACGAGCCCTGCTCGAACTCGATCTCCTGGGCGATTTTGTCGGCCTTGCCCTGCTGTAGCTGGAGCTGGCAGTGGAGAAGGTGGAACTGGGACTCCTCGCGCAGTGCGTCCTCCTGGAAGGCAGCGCACTCTTGCTCGAGCTTCAGCCGCTCAGCTTCGAGTCCGACCGCCGTGTGGTCGTACTGCGCCTTGCGCTCCAGATAAACCTGCTCCATCTCCTGGTAGCGTTGACGCACCGTGCGCAGCTCTTTGATCTGCGGGGCCAGTTGGTTCTTACGCTCCTTGAGCGCTTGGTTAATGTCCGTGACCACACGCGAGATCTCTTCGAGCGTCTCTCCCTTGAGCGCGTTCACTCGCGCGTTTTGCACCGAGACGTCGTCGATCTTGTCTTGCGTGGCCAGAAACCCGCTAACCCCCTTCTGTCGCTCGAGATCGCGGAGGAAACCTTCGAGGTCTGCGTCTTTACTCTTGAGGAGCTGCTCCGTGCGGTGCAACACGACGCTTTCCGCTGTGAGCTCCGCCAGCTCGGCTTTGACCTTCTTGTACTGGTTCGTTTTGTTCCGAAGCGTTGTCGCGTATTGCTTGAACTCCTCCCGACTCATGAACTTGCTGCCAGATATCGACGCCAGCTTTGCCTCCAGCTCCTCCGTGCTGCGTTGAAGTCGCTGCTTGTCCGCTCTGAGCTGCTCCAGCTCGTCTTCTTTCTCAGTAAGCTTACGAGCCTGGAGGTTGGCATGCTGGCGGAACACCGCCAGCTTGTCTTCGCCGTCTCCGCTTCCTTGAGCGACTTGAGCGTCGGCGATCTGCGCTTGATACTGCTGTATAGCGCGTCTCAGAGCCTGCACCTCGTCCTCCATGTCGGCAATGTCGTGCTCCGTCTTAGGCGGCTCGCTGAGCGCGTGCTCAAGTCGCTGCAGCGTCGCCTGCTGAGTGTTGAACTCCGCTGGGAACTTGGCGTTGATAATGTCGTTGTTGCGTGCCACCTGAGACTGCAGCCTCTCAAAGAGTTGCTCAGGCGTGGCATCCTGCGATAGCGACGCTCGAAGGTCCTGCAGTCGGGCCTCGGTTTCTCTCGCGCGCTTCTCCGCCAGCGACAACGACAGCAGCTGGTCACGCTTCCTCTCCGCCAACTTGGCCTGCTCCTCCTGCTCCTTCCGCAGCGCGCTGGTCGCAGCCAGCAGCTCTTGGAAGCCCGGGTCCGACGACGTCTTCTTCTTCAGGTTGGCGATCTTCTCGGTGAGTTGCTGGGACTCTTCCTCCAGCTGGGAGATTTCGCGGCGCAGCTCACCCGGACGAGACTTGGACGCGCGCAGCTGGTCCACCTCCTTGTGCACTGTCTTGAACTGGTTCTGCAGCTGCTGGTAGTGCTCGTACATGGCATTTAGCGCTACAACAACACCGCCGTCAGCACTGGTACATTTGTGAAAGTTAATACAAAATCCTCTGAAGCAACGTACAGCCATCTCCGAAATACTCTTGGGGCACATTGAGAGGCGCCAGGAAGCGTCCTAGGTACGCTCGCTTCTGGTGCGCGGGCAGGCTCTTGAGCGCCCAATGCAGCAGCGTGTAGATGGTCTGCCGGTCCCCGTGGGCCAGCGCCTCTCGGAACCCGTCGATGTCTCGCGGCAGCTGGAACTTGAGCAGCTGCAGGAACTCCAGGTAGCGCTGCGCCCGCACTTCGTCGGCCTCGGCCCTGAGATCCACGCCCGAGTGACGCGTCGGGTCGATCTCGACGAAGACCTCGTGCAGGATCTGCAGCAGCTCGAAGTTGCTCTTCTCATCGAACGCCACGAGCGTGAGGCCCAGGCGGAACGGCTCCTTGTTCAGCTGCTCGACGATCAGCTGCAGCTCGCTCATGGTCGAGATGGACCAGTTGAGTTGAGGGGTCACACTGTGGACTCTTGCTCTGGTGTTGAAGTGATCCTACGAAGAGACGCATGAGCTGATTGGCTGATATCGAGCGTGGATACTTAGCGAGATACTTTTGAAACACGTTACACTCCACGACAAAAAGATATGGACACCACCAAAAGTGGCTGTAACTTCGTCAATTTTTATCGTTTTAAGGTGCGGTTTGGACTAGAGTTGCAGAACACGCTGATAAAGATCTGCACGTTGCTAACACGCGCGCTTTTGCGCTTCTTCAGGTAGCTCACATACAAATCACTGGTTCTGCCCAGGTGACAAAACTTATGGACAGCTAATCCCCATACAAAATCCTATATTAACCAAAACCCCTTACAAATGATACGACTTGGACTTTGTATGGGGCGACAAAGGAACCAGCCTCACGGCGATACTCGCGACGTTAGACAAAGATCTGATGGCATTATCGTATACTAGAAGGTGTGTTTAGTAACCTGTAATAAATACATCGACCATCGCACAAAACTGAGCAAGTAGTAAGCGACTGAAATTTCGAGTGGTGGCTACCATGTATTATCTGATGATATGCGAGGCACGGTCAGTTGCATCCTAGTTAGTGCCAATTTGTAGCTCTGTATGCTGCTATCTCTTGGATATACGATTGTTTTCTCCATTCTAAACTGTTGGACGATGATATATGGCTCAGTACTAAGGTAGAGTGGAGAAATCATGGGTTCCTTTGTCGCCCCATACAAAGTCCAAGTCGTATCATTTGTAAGGGTTTTTGGTTAATATAGGATTTTGTATGGGGATTAGCTGTCCATAAGTTTTGTCACCTGGGCAGAACCAGTGATTTGTATGTGAGCTACCTGAAGAAGCGCAAAAGCGCGCGTGTTAGCAACGTGCAGATCTTTATCAGCGTGTTCTGCAACTCTAGTCCAAACCGCACCTTAAAACGATAAAAATTGACGAAGTTACAGCCACTTTTGGTGGTGTCCATATCTTTTTGTCGTGGAGTGTAGAGCACCATGAGGACGACCATGAGGAAGACGTTTTCAAGTGCAAGCTATTGTGCGTTCGATTCAAAATTTCCGAGAGCGATTGGTTGAATCGATCCAGCGAAACCAACCTGCCAATTGCCCAACCTAACATAAGGAATGAAATATATGCGTGATAAGAGGCTTTCCTTCGGGAGCCGGAAGCTGCAGCTTTGCAGTTCTGGAATTGCACCATGGTGGCCACACCACGGAGGTCGCCACGCCAGCCCATTCTTACGCGTGTCTCGCCGTACCCATTGCGAAGCCGCACCCCGACGCCAGGCAGCTCTCCGTCGACCTCGCAGCCCACAGTGGCTCCACGCGCATCTCCATCGCAAACAGACGCCAGTGGTCAAGGAACACGACCACTACAAGCGACCCCAGCAGCGCTTCGGCCGCAGCAGCTTCCAGCGACATGAGCACCGGCAGCACCCGCTACTGTTTCTCCTGCACGATCCGTTGGTTTGTTGGCGGCACCTCCAGCAGCACCAGCTACATCGCGAGTGGTCACGTCGCTGCCACGGCCTGAGAGCATGCACGAAGCAACAACTGAAGCAGACCAAGCAGCTCCAAGTCATCTGTACCAGTTGCTATTGCGGCCAATCGTGAAGGCGACCATCGCCCAACGCGATACGTCGGCCGAGACTCTCGACGACGTCGTTGTCAACGGCGGATCGTTCGACGAGATCCTGCAGAAGATCTGGAGCTTGTTCAGTGGCCGTGTCAAGTGCAGAGCGGTGCGGACGGACGGCGAGTGGTCTGTCGAGACCCACGAGGTGGGCGAGTGGGACCGTGTCATGCAGTTCAGGGCCAAAAAGAAGGTAGTGGAGTCTACCAAGTCAGCACAAGCGTGGAAGCAGTGGCTGCAAAAAATGCGAGGGCATACAGTGACGCTCGTTATCTACGAGTATGGTTTGTCGATCGCAAGAGCTCAAGATCGAGATGAATTCGTCGCAGCCTGCATACAGCCTGAGGAGACCGATCGTGCGGGCGCAACCGCTGAGACCTCGTTGCGAGATGTTGTGGAGAGACTTCGAGAGCAATGGGCGGCTACATTCCAAGGTGAAGGTGTTGTTTGGCGTCTGTGGGCCAACCATCTCACGCGGAATCTCAAAAGGTCAACGTGGGACGTCGCTATTCAACAATCACCACCAGAGTATATCGCGAATCTGCTTCGACTCGTGGATACACAGATGGAGCAACACGTGGCCGAAGTTACTCGAACGGCAAATGTGGCGCTAGATGTTGTGGCGGCCACAATTGCTGACTACCGGCAGCTGCGCCAAAGGTGGGAATTTCTCGGACAGTATCTCGATGAAAATGAGCGCCGTTTGGAGGTGCGCAAGAGTGTTATCATGGGGTTTCTGCGCGACATCACCCCTCCTGCTCGCGACGAAGTGATCGACCCTCTCCTTCAAATGGAGAACGTCGAAGACACAGAGCACGCCGAGTGACGAAAGAAAAAGGATTACATGTTGATGAGTTTAAGCTACTCTTACGATTCAAGTTCCGTAAACTCTAATTCATCTTGGTTGCGTTCACTAGCAGCGAGTTCGGCTTTGTTCTCACTTGAAAGAGGTACAACAGGATCGAAGTAGCCTTGTTTCTTCCAACCGCAGTGCTCGAACACCTTGCTCATGTCGAAATCTCTGAAGCGTTGAAACGTCTGAACGACGAATGGAGTCAAATCTCGCCCGCTAGCTTCCGAGTAGTGTCGTTGAAAGGAGCGCTTGACGTATCCGAAGAGGAACTCGATAGGATTAAAAAACGGACAATACGCTGGCAAGAAGATCACCACTACACCGACGCTTCGTAGATAGTGAATAATTTCCGGGTGTCGGTGGATTGTAGCCCCATCCATGATCCAGATTGAGTTTGGTCCAGGATACTGGCGTATCGGCCCCCTCTCCATGTGCACCAGGTCTTGACAGCACTTGGTGAACTCTAGCCGATCGAAAGTGCCTTCCGTACTAAAGTAGTCGATAATGCCGTTGACACCAATAAAGGCCAGGATCGACACACGAGGTTTTCTCTCGAAGTCGCCGCGGATGGCAACTTTTTTCCCTCGGACGGCGTAGCCTCGCTTGCGAACCATCCCTCTGTTGTCAAATGAGACCTCATCGAGGAAAACGAGGTTGTGGTGGCTCCAGTCGAGGTGACTAAGCTCTTCCACGAAACGGAAGACGTCCTGCTCCTTGATGTGAATCGCCCTCCGCTCCAACACCTTCCACGTCAGACCAAACAAGTGAATGATGCGCCACACTGATGTCTTGGAGATCTCGGTGCCGTGAGTTCGTTTGAAGGCGTCCTGGGCTTCAGCTAAGTAGGAGAGTGGATGATGTTGGTAGTAGTTAAAAAGCCACACCCGTTGCTGTTTCGTGTACTTCCTCTCTCGAGTGGTCCGAGCACGCTGGAACACTCCGGTCTCGTAGTAGGCTTGCAGCCAATTGCCGATCGTGTGTTCGGTCTTATTGAAGACGTGGGCAAGATGGCTTCTAGTATAGCCGAGCTTGATGTGCGCGTAGAGGCAGTGATAGACAGTGCGTTACCGCTTCCTCAATCTTGCATTGACTGTGCGGAGTGCGCACTCGGGCACTTCAGGGAATATTGGCCAATTAGCGACGAAGTTCGATTCGCCACTCGATTTCAAGACCGGAGCCAAACCGCACCCTTTTGGAAAATTTGGGCAGAATTGACAATACTAGTCGTACATTTCAATACCTCACTGTCGCTGAGGCACGCCTCCATTGTCATGAACTTCTAGCGTACATACAAACTATCTATCGGCGAAAGATCGATCTACCAGCCGTCGGTGAAGCGGCCGAAGTTGCCGCGGGAGTTGTTCGAGCGGCCCTTGGAGAAGGACGAGTCGTAATTACTCTTGTTGTTGTTGTTGCGACGGAAGCCGCCGTCGTTGCGGTCGTTGCGCTTCCAGTTGCCGCCGCCCTCGCGTCTGTTGCCTCCGAAGCGGTTGTTGGAGAAGCCGCGCGAGTTGCTGTTGCGTCCGCCGCGCGAGTTGAAGCGGTTGTTGTTGTTGTTGTTGTTGCGGCCGCCCCTGTCCATCAGCAGGCGCGGGAACTCCACGGCAGCGGTCACCGTCACTTCGTCGTCGGACGACGCGGTCAGGTGCTCCTGAAGGCTCTCCAGCTTGCCCTGCGGGATGTCAAACACGAGCTTGCCACCATCGACTGGGTAGATGTCCACGCGGTCGTCCATGAACGACGACAGCAGGCGGTTCAATTCGCGCGCGTTCTGCACGCCTTCGACCTGCACGGTCTGCATGCGGAAGCGTCCCGTGAGCATCGACAGCGTCGTGAGCTTCTTCGAGTCGAAGCCGCACAGCAGAGCGAGAGCAGCGCTCAGCACACCTGGTCCCTGCTGCTCGATCATGGCCTGGGCCGCTTCATCGAACAACTGAGCGTTCGCCTTGGGCAGCGACGTGAGCTGCTTGTTGACGTCCTCCAGCGCGCCTTCGATCATCTGCTCGGGGTGAGGCGGGGCCGCGTGCGCAAACTTGAACTTGTAGCGACGCTCAAAGTCGAGCACGTCGCTCGCATCTCTGCCGTCGAAGAAGACAATGTTGGTACCCGAGCGTCCGGCACGACCCGTACGGCCGGCGCGGTGCACGAAGCTCTCCTTATCGCTCGGGAGGCGGTACTGCACGACGAGCTCAACGTTGGCGATGTCGAGGCCACGCGCAGCAATGTCCGTGCACACGAGCGTCTTGACGTGGCCGTTGCGGAAGCCGCTCATCGTGGACGTACGCATTCCCTGGGAGAGGTCACCGTGCAGGGCGCGCGCGTCCTGCCCGGGCAGCGAGTTGGCGATCTCGTCGGCCTCCTGCTTGGTCTCAGTGAACACGAGGGTCTGTCCGTCGTGCGCGTGCAGACGCAGCACGTTCTCGAGCACCTGGATGCGGTCGCGCACGGGGGCGTTGATCGCCTTGTGCGCCACCGTGGCGGGCACCTGGTTGTCCTCGTCGCCCACGAGGTCGATGGACACGGGTTCCTTGAGGAACTTCTTGGCCATGGAGCTCACCCACTTGGGGAAGGTGGCCGACCACATGACGGTCTGGCCGCCCTCGGGCACCCAGCCCAGAATGGTCTCCACCGCCTCCTGGAAGCCAAACTTGAGCATCATGTCGGCCTCGTCCAGCACGGCCACGTCCACGTCGTCCAGCGAGAGCGAGCCCTTGTCCACGAGGTCCATGATGCGGCCGGGCGTGCCCACGAGGATGTCGGCGCCGCGGCGCAGGTGGTTCTCCTGCACCGTGTAGGACACGCCGCCCACGACGTTGACCGTGCGCAACTGCGGGGCCACGCGCTGCACCTCGTCGTGCACCTGCTGCGCCAGCTCGCGCGTGGGCAGCAGCACGAGCGCCTGCGGGTTGCGCGTGTTCTTGCGGTTGGCCAGGATGGTCTCGACGATGGGCAGCGCGAAGGCCAGCGTCTTGCCCGAGCCCGTCTTGGAGCGGCCCATGATGTCGGCGCCGCGCATCATGACGTCGAACGACTGCGTCTGCACCGGGAAGAGGTGCGTCACGCCCGCGCGCAGCAGGTTGCGCTGCGTCTCCTGCGACAGCGCGAAGTCCTCGATGGGCTTCTGGTCCACGAATCCCTTCTGCGGGGCCAGCGACTCCAGCTCGGCGTCGGCGTCGGCCTCGACCTCAGCGTCGTCGTCCAGCTCCAGCGCAGCGGCCGAGCCGAAGTCCGCGGGCGCCGACGAGTACCAGGCCACGGCGGTCTGAGCGGGCGCCACGCGCATGACGCGCGCCGACGAGGCGAGAGGCGCCGAGCGGCGCAGGGCCAGCGCGGCCGAGCGGCCGGCGAGGCGGAGGGTCACGGAGAGCGGCAGCATCGGACACGGATGTGACGATGAAGAGTGAAGCTGACGCTGGGTAGTGTGCGGCCAGCAGGCACTTGAATCGGGTGGTGGCGCCTAGTGCGATTTTTGCGATAGGAGCAATAGTGAAAGCAAGGAAAAAGGTGAATGCAAGGTGAAATTTGCGCTTGTTACGCCGTTTTGTTTTGTTGTGGTCCAATTCTGGTGCCATTTTGATGCGCTAAAGTGCAAGGTGGGACGTTTAGCTGGAGGACGAGACCAAAGGCAAGCGCCGGCGTGTCGTTGACATTGGCTATTGCTCAGGAAACGTTAATAGGGTAAAAGGAAAGTGGGCTGCCGGGTCCTACAGTCGCGCGGCGCCCGATACAACATAGTTCTCTGTCTGCTCTCTCGCTCAAGGTCTCTACATGGGGAAGCTGGCTCGACGCCGGGGACGGACGTACGCTCGTCCTCTCCGCCGTCTGAGTGCTGCTGCCATCGATTCATTCATCACGCTGCCGCTGTTCCACCTTCGCCAAGGGAGAACCGCGCAAGCGCGTCTGTCTTGCTTGCTCCAAACACGTACACGCACTTGCACGCATATCACGAACACAATGAACCGAAGGTGGAAGTCTACGAGGCGCTGATACCCTCCCTGCAAGTGCACAGACGAGAAACAACAGCAACAGAGCACAAAGTTAGCGAATGAGACTACTTTACAATACACGCACGAGATATCCTTGTCATGCGTACTTTTTGAAGGCTTGGGCGATGCGGTGCGAGTCGAAGGTGCAGTGGATGCTCACGATGCTGCCGCCGCTCACGCTCACGATGTCGCACGACTCCTCCGTCACGATCTCGCTGTTGCGCAGGATGCGGAACGTTGTAGACGTCATCACCACCGCGGTCTCCTCGTCCTCGTCCACCAGAATACGAAGCACGCGGCCACTGCTGCGCTCCACCGTCTCGTCACGCATCTTCCAGTAGTCACACAGCCGCTTGTAGCCGTGGAACTCGCCCCAGTACGGCACGCAGTCAGGCAGGTTCGAGCTCAGCACGCACCCGTCCGACACGGGGTCGATCTTCTCCTCCATCCAGAAAGACGCCGGCGCGTCCAGCGGCGACGAGAACTTCAGGTTGGGGCCAAACAGGTTGCGGTAGAACTCCATCACCAGCTCTTTCATCTCTTCTTTGTTGCACTTCAGCGAGCCCACGGAGCTTGAGGTCGCTGACAGCCTCTGCTTCGGTGCATCATCAGGCAGCAGTGATAGGCGCTGCTTCGGGAGCGGCGGAGACGGGTTAGCATTCGACACACACACCAAGATCTCCGTCAGCCACGTGAGACGAGTGTCGATAGAGTCCACCAACACCATAAACGATCCGTGACCCTGCGTGTTGATCTGGAAGCCAAACACACAGTTTTGGCCTTGCACGTGCATGGGGAGGCCCTCCGACACTGTAAGAGGACGCGATGTACCGCGGACAAAAGTGCGGTCCTTCGCGTGCGCTTCGCTAATGTAGTAGCTCAGCGATCCATCTGACCGAGTGAGAACGAAGTAATATCGCTCCCACACGTTCCGGTGGCCGGTCTCGGGGTACTTGTTCTTGTACATGTAACCAGCCGTTATCACGTTCATCGATGCTTCTGCCGATTTTGACGATGCAGCAGGAACGTCGGTGACTACCACGCCAGCATCGCGCTTTACGAAGGTAGTGATGTCCTCGCCACGGGAAGTATCCACGACGAACACGTCCGTCTGGCGGGGAGCCACATTCGGCGAGGCGTACGCCTCGTTACTCAGAGCAAGCACTTTCTTGTCTATCTTCTCGTTATGAGTCGTAACCAGGGACTTCCGCAGACGCTTGAACACGCTGTTCCATCCGAACGAGTTACGCTGGTTGTTCTCTCCGTTCGACTGTGAGTTGGAGTCCTGTGCGGGCGGAGCAACCGGGGGCTTAATAACGGAGCCCAGGCGCATCGGCGACTTGAACACAGGCGACTGAAGCACGTTCTTGAAGTAGTGCGACTTGCGCGAGCCATCCCCTTCGCTGTTTCTACTCGTGTCCGGCGTCTCCTTCGGAGATTCCTCAGCAGACTTCTTCGGCGAAGCTTGCTTAGAGTCCGTAGACGCTGACTTCGTGTCAACACTCGTGTTGATTGCAGGCGGGGCCGTTGCCTTCACGTCGTCCTTCTTTCCAACTTCCTTTTCAGACGTTGCAAGTTCGTCGTCTGCCGACTCTAGCTTGCTGGCAGGTTCACTGGGAGAAGATGAGGGTGTCAATGCACCCTTCTCCTTAACCGAGCTGCTTCTGCCCAGAAAAGGACGCTCAGATGCTGCTTCCGGCTGCTCGGTCGACGCAGGCGCAGACTCTTCCTTTAATAAAAGTTCCGCTGCGGGGGTAGATTCGGCTTCGGTAGCAGCTTGCTCCACTGTTGAGCCGCGCTCGCTTGCCGTGGCCTGCTCGTCCACCGAGCTTCTCCTCTCGTCAGAGCCACGAGCCGAGTCGGACTTCTCGGAACCGCTGCTGAACCGCGTCTTCTCCGACAACTTTGCCCACGCAGGACTACGCTTGCAGTGGAATACAACCTGCGCGTTGTTTTGGGACGGCGCCTTGCTGGTGAACACTTCATCAATCACGTCGTGGAGGATGGCAGCGTAAATGTCTAGCGTCGGGATGTCCAGCTTCGCGCGCAGCAGCAAACTTACGATATTCTCCGGTACCTTGATGTCGACATCGAACAGGTCCTTCGTCAGAGGACAGTTCTTTGCTCGGGACGCATCAGCATCGCGCAGGATGAATGAGATCGCAGGGACAACGTGGATGATGAGCATGTCAAACGACGATCGTTTCTCGAGGATGGAGAGATAGGCCTGGATGAGTCCAGCCTTGTGCAGCTCCTCATCAATAGTGGCATCGTTTAGCAGGACCAGGTTATTCAAATACTTTGCCAGCGAGATCTCCACAGACGAAGGAAGCCCCTTGTTGAGCTGCTCCACGAAGGCGCCGCACGTTTTCCGAGCCACATCCAGCACGAAAGTCCACAGAGCGTGTCCCCGGGGCAGAGACGTCAGGTTGTACATGGACGTCTCGTTGGCACCTTCGTGCGGCGAGTTGGGGTACTGCTCCGACGAAAAAGTCGAGTACCCGAACATTTGCGTGTTCTGGGCTTCCATCTCAGGCGTCTGGTTGTTGTCGTCGTCACTCTCAGCACTTTCGTTCAGCAGTTTTTGACACAGAACCAAGAGCTCAGCCGCCACGTGAATGTTCAGAGCGCTCGACACTTCAGAGAGCTTCTTCTCGCGAATAATAGCAAGCTCATCTGCAGCGTTCTTGAACAGCTCCTCCACGATTGTGGGCTGCTTCGACATCTCTTCCAGCAGCATGTACTGGAGGAAGTTGTGGTACCCATGCGTCATCGACTCGAAGCCTCGGATCGTGCCGAACTGGTCACGCACAAAGTACTTGGACAGGTACACACCACCTTCGCGGCGACTGAACGCGCCTAGCCGGTCAGCTTGATTGGCTTGCAGCATGTCCACAAGCAGGTTGGTCGTGTTCTCCACCAGCGGCAGGTTCTCCGGCTTGGTCGGGTTCACGCGGGTGGCCTCAGCCAGCAGCGGCGCCGCAATCTCCATGGCGTCGTTACGGCCGGTGATCGGGTGCACACTCTCGTAGCTCTGCAGGATGAGCGTGAGCATGTACTTGATGGTGTTCGAGTACAGGTGCGGCACAACCATCGGCAAGAACCGCTTCAGCACGTTGTTGACGTATCCTTCCTCGAGGCAGAAGCCGTCGTGCAGCCGCACAAGCGCCTTGCTGAAGAACAGAAGCTGCATCTCGTCCAACGGGATGGGGTTCTTAAAGATGGAGTAGAGCTGCTCCCACTTTTCAATGTCCTCCGGCTCCTGGCACCCAAAGACGGCGGAAGACGCGGTCGAGCCCGAGCTCGAGTCGGACGAAAAAGACTCGTACAGATCCTCCTCGCCAGTGTAGAGCTTCATGATGATCTCGGAGCACAAGAAGTGCTTCTTGTAGTAGCCGTACTCCTCGTGCGGCTCGCCACTGAGCACGGGCGGGGTCACAAACTCCGCGAGCACCTCCTTCACCGTCTCGGGCTGCATGAGCCAGAGGCGGATGTCCGAGTCCGTGTCCTCCAGGATCTCCAGCACGGGGTCGATCTGCATGTCCAGGAAGGCCGCGAGCGTCATCTTCTTCTGACTCATTGAGCCCGAGAACAGCTGGTCGTCTGGATACGAAGGTAATGACCGGCGGCGGAACGTGTCAGCGTCATCCAGGAACTTGGACAAACTGCCGGCGCGTCCGCCGCGGTTCGTGATGACCTCCATCTCGTTCACGGAGAAGCTCATGGTCGGGGGCACGCTGGGCTTGGCGGGGTCCTGGAGCAGGTCCACGCCGTCCTCCATGGCCTCGTGGAACTCGTCGTCGTCCTCGTCGTCGAAAGCCGCCAACTCCATCAGCACATCTTCTTCGCTGTCGTCGTTACTGCCGGCAGTTTCGTTCGCGCCGTCGGTGAGCCCCTCGACTGTCGTCTCCTCGACAGAATCAACCTGCGCCTCCGTCTCCACGACGGCCACAGGCTCGCTCTCACCGTCTTCACTAGCAGCAGCAGCAGCAGTAGCAGCAGTAGACTGTGCCTCTGTCTGCTCGTTCTCTTCCTCCTCCTGCTGCTGCTCGTTCTCCTCCTGCTGTTGCTCCTTCTTCGCCGCCTCGTTGTTCTCCTCCTTGGACGGTTCGTCCGCCGTCTCCGCGGGCGTCTGCGCGCTCTCCTTGCTCTTGAAGCCGCTGGCGGTGGGCGCCACGAGCTCCTCGAGCGTCACGGGCTCGCCTACGATCTCGGGAGCGTCCTCAGGCGCCGCGGGCGTCTTGGACGGGCGAGTGGCGGCGTCGCTGGGCGCGGCGGCCGCCTCCATGTCACTGCTTGGGGTCGCCGTGGGGACCGGTCGGTGGGGGGGGGCACGCACTCGCTGCTCCCCGCTCGCTCTCGGTAAGGTCGGTCGTGGGGAGGCCTTCTTCGCCCGGGGCACCGCTATCGCTTGTCCGTCCGGCGAGGCTGGCAGCAAGCAGGCGTGCTATGCCGTGTCAGAGCAGAGGGAGAGGGGGGAGCCATCTCCCATTGGCAGAAAAAAGAGCCAGACGGCGCGCTTGCTGCGCCGCGATTGGCTGCGCAAGAGCCACTCTTCGGAATGGCTGCATAGACGGCTTAAGTGCGGCGCTCCCGGCAAAGTACGAGTGAAGCCATGCGGCGTTTTGATACTGTTTCAGAAGGCAACTTCGACTTGGAAGGAGGATACGCTACTAACTAACCATGGTGCGTTGGGAGGGGATTTTTCCTCGCCTTTGGCTTGCATCTAGTAGGCAGTGAGACTGCGATGGATACTTTGTGGCCTAGTGTCGTGACGTGGCAGGATCGCCCTGCAGAGCGTACTGACCGGTCTCTGCACTGCAGACGGAGGCCATCGTGTGGAAGCACGCGACCGAGAGCGAGCTGGCCAAGTTGGCGACGCGGCACTCGGTGGACGACTGCAAGAGGTCATAAAATCTGTCTGTCTGTCTGTCGCTGCTGATGGCGGCTACAACTGGAGCTGGGTTGAGCGATTGGCTGGATGACATTGGCTAACTTTTGGTGAGCAGTGCACTGGCGGAGATCTTCGACTTGGACGCCTCGGATGACAAGCAGGGCTTCTTGCTGGACTTCCACCTGCACAACTACTCATATCCTTCCTGTACTATGCACTGCATTTTTCTGCTGTATCTTTTGTAGCCTTTACATATAATTCGAGTTGAGGTAGAGGATGAGAGAGTTCGCCTTAACGGTTGAAGGGTGTTTACGTTCTGCAGGCAAAGGCACTTCCAGCTCAACCAGACGTCCGTCTTCCTTGGGATCTGTCAGACGCTTATGAAGCGCGACTTTGCGCGTGAAAGCACCACCGACCTCAAGAGCAGCTTTGACTACTTCGAGCAGATTCTGCTCACCCACAGCGTCAACCGGTCGCCAAAGAGGCAAGTTCATGCTCAAGACGCGCCCTGGCGAACGCGCTAACAGTGTTTATTTGTCGTCAATCACTTGTAGCGTGGGCATCTTTACCCGAGAGGAGGTCGCAGTCATCGTGGACTACGTCACGAACTCGTACTACCGACACTTTCAGCTCTACAAGTGCATCTACACGCCGTACTACCACGTGCACCTTGTGCAGCGCGAGATCAACGACATCCAGACACCCAAGGCCCCGCGTCCGCTCAGCCACGGCTATCTTCACTCCACCAGATCTCTACCATCCATCGAGTCGACCGGAACACTCGACAAAGACGAAGTAGCAGCAGTAGAGACCACAGAGACCCCATCAGATGCATAACTTGACGTGCAAATCTATATATTCTTGGTCTCAGCCACTAATAACCTTCCCATTGCCCCCACTCCACCGTGGCAAGTTACTCGAACAGGTTCTTGTACTTGGACTGCGCGAGCTGCACGAACTGGTCGTACACGTCCAGGTCGAAGCTATCGCCGAAGAGCGTCGTCTTGAACTCCTGGATGGTCTCCGAGTCCACGACGCGGCCGATGACCTCCACCACCTTGCTGCCGTAGTCGGTGCCTGGCTGGATCGTCACGTTTACGATCTCCCCGTCCTAAACACAGCAGGCAGCGGCGTTAGATCACAAATAAAAATGGAGCCACTACCCGTTGATAGGAGAGCGGTCGTTGAGTGGTGACTCACCGACGTGCGCAACACGACGGCAGTGTGCGAGTGGCTCTCCACAGCACCGACGAGCGCGACCGTGTGGCCCACATACGCGCCCATCGTCTTCTTGTTCACGCGCGGGTGCGTCGCGTTGCCGGTCGGGGCGCCTCCAAAGTCCATCGTTCTGCTCTGTTTTTTTGCGTTGGAAAAAGTGATGGCGCCATAATGAAGCAAGTCGCGCCAAAAGATTTTGACCAATAGGATAGGATTACGACCAACTAAGCTTGGACAAAGCGTTTTGGGCGTCACAAATCGGTACAAATCCCAAATTTGAAAAAGAATACACCAGAAAACGGCCACTCGGCCAGTTAGATTTAGCATTTAGAAAAATGTAGGGGAAACAAAATGAAAATTTGTGCAAAAGGTGATTCAAGGATTTGTATCAACTCGATACTATCGAGAGAACACTTGTCAGGCTCAACAGCATTCGCTAGGGCACTGAGCCGCGATGTTGATACTCCAGCGGCGCGCAACGAAGCTCCGCGCGACGCCCGAGCCGCCGGTTTACGCCGCGAGACGACTCCTCGTCCGACGAGGACGAGGACGACAACGACAACACCGACTATGGGGACCGACTATGAGGATACCAAGAAAAAAAGGTTGCTGTTTGTCGAGACCCGTGCCTACCCATTTGGTAACATCGTATGGTTGAAAAGTGCATGGTGAAGAAGAGAAAACAAGATTATTGATTGTTTGTTTTTAACTTTTTTAAACTCCTACGTGGAAGACTTCTATTTCTGAAGTATATCTGCTTTGTCTTTGTACTAAGTACTAGTACTTCGAAATATGCTAATTTAAGTTAGTAATTTAAGTCTGTAAAAGGATATAATGAAGTCAGCACATGTGAAAATGTCGGTGGAAACTCGCCGGATAAGCCTACTTTTTCGGAACAAACTAAAAAACGAGATGGGTTAGCAAACATGACACCGTTCTCTAGTATCCGCTTCCAAAAAATACTACGAAGAATGGCGTCGTCCTCCAAACGACGATTTTTTGTGTTGGTGCAGCGAAAACTTGCTTACGAACCTACGCGGTGTTCGTCGCAGTTAGTGTACTCCGCAAACAAGTTAGTGATTTTCACAACACACCAACCCATTGTAAGTGCTGTTTACAAACATTTTTGTATGTTTGCTGCTCTACCGTTATCATTCAAATTAGTGGCGCCTCAAGCGAGCTAATACTGGTTGTCGAATCCATATTCCATGTACGCCCACGGCGCAGCCCAGAGTAATATGGTATGAGAATACAAGGGGCTTTGCTTTAGGCTGGGAAGGCAGTTAAAGTATGTGAGGTGCAACTGGCACTTATCTCACGAAACTCGCTTATTTGGCGACCTGTGGTCGCCACCATTTAAGAAGGTTAGAATGTTTTGAACTAACGTCCTGCGATGGCCTACATAGCAAGCAAATAGATTTAAGGACGCCGCCCGCGCCCTTAAATCGCTCGGGCAGTGCATTATTTCCACTGCACCTCTTTTCGTTCGAGTAGGAGGGTTGCCAGAATGTAAACTGAGGGCTACAGTGATGTAGCGAGAAGCGATTACTCGATCATACCATCTAGTTTGCGTGTCCTGGAACACACGACACCAACGTCGATGAAGGAGGCGAGTGTCCTGACCCGTATCATGCGCTGGAAACAGAGGATGCTCTTGTCATAGCGAAGACGCGTGCCACATCTAATAACCCGCCAGTGCTACTAAAGATGAGGCCGTTTGACCCCTCAGAGGGACAATACCTGGATGCAATGAAGAAGAAAGCGAGTGAACTGAAAACAGTGCGATGAATTAAGAAGCTGTACCTCTTATAATAATGACAGACTTATTAGATTTATAATACAACGAGTCTGAGGCTAGAGGTAAGTCGATCTTACATTTGCAGGCAGACCCTAGCCCGGCTTTTCGCTTTCTTGGCCAAGTCATGACGCCATCCACGCTCAACATGTTTGGCAGTTCATCTTCCTCAGGTACCTGTTGGCGAAATCGTCTTTCAGACCGAGTCGTCCGCGAATCTCTCTTCTTCATCGTCGACGGAGTTTCCCTCTTTGCCCAGTGTCTCGTAGCTCCGCAGAATTGCCTAGTCACGTTCTTGCTCTCCAGCTTCACTACCTATAGTCAAGCTGATCTGTGTGAACGTTATGTGTCACCGATGCGATGTTGTCCGAATGGTGCTTGTGGTACGAGCAACTTTTTTTGGACGAATTAATGTCTGTGAGGCTGTCCATACAGCTCTTCTAGCTCGACTCCAGGCCGGCATCGTTTTTGACGCTCGATCTACTGCACCGCATGGCCATGTCAGCGCCGTTGACGAAGTAGCTAAATTGTTCTCAATGTGAGACCCGGCGATCAAAACGAAGGTGGCTGGTCGAAATTCTTTTCAGAACCACCAAAAGCAAACAATCAACCGAGAAACGATATGGCAAGATTAAGCATCGTCGCTGACAGCAGCGGTGAAGATAGCGGCGGAGGTGAACGTGCCCGAGGACGCGTTTCGCAGGGTCAGCATCAATTGCGCCAAGGGCGACGGCAACACGGCCAAGTACAAGGCGGCGTTGAAGCCACCACCCCAGGAAGCGTTTTGCAGGACCGACGTCAATTGAACCAAGGACGAGGGCAGGAGAGCCGTGCACGAGGTGGCGGCGGAGACAGCCGCGGTGAAGGTGGTGTAGCTGAGACTTTTGATGGCGCGAATGCTACCAGTAGCGATGCCCAGAGTAGCGATGACGGGCCCGAAGATGGCGTCGGTGATGCACCAGTTGAAGATCAAGGCGTGATGCATCAAGTCACAGCGGATTTGTCCGATGGCGAACACCCGTGCAAGATTGGGCGCCTCCGGTACACCAAGAGGGGGTTCCTCAAAGGCAAGGTGAAGTGGACCGACTCGGAGATTCCGTTTGGCTACGTACGGAAGAGCGACAAAATCGGTATTGAGAACGAGGAACGTGACGATCGAGTCGAGCGTCGAGCGTCCAATCTCCCAGCCCCCGCTCGTCCGCCAGCCAGTAGCAGTAGCAGTTCATGCAGCAGCAACTCTGATAACGATGACGATAGCAGTTACGTGCTTAGTGAAAGCCCTGGCGGCAGCCCAATTGACAGCAGCTCCGGAAGTGATTGAAGCTATAAGATGAATACGAGGATAGCACTAAGTCATGCATATTGAAACGATAATTGAATCGAAGACCGCATTGCCCTGCGCGTAGCTGAAGTGACCTCTCTCAGTGACTGTCTGAATGTCCTCCTGCTCCTGGATCTGTTACTGCTGTTCCAGCATTCACTGAGGGCGTGTGCTGCATTTTGTAGCTCATGAGTTCTTCTTCATCGCTCCCCATCGTCCGCGCGGCACTCGACCCCGATGCTTCCCTGTCCGACGCCGTAGCCGAACGTGTCCATGGGCAGAATCTCGTCGATCCTGTCGCCCAGCGCGCCAAGTCGAAAGCAGCAGGCCGCCACGATGATGGCGTCGTAGTCGTCATGCTCGTCCAACTTGGCCTGCCGCGTCTGGATGTTGCCGCCCAGCGTCTTGATCTCGAAGGTCGGGAACTGCTTGCGCAGGGGCGCCTCGCGCCGCAGCGAGCCGGTGCCAATGATGCTACCCTCCGGCAGCTGCGTGAGCGTGAGGCCCTTGGTCTTGTGCTTGGGGTGGATCACGGCCGCGTCTTCAGGGATCTCGCGCTTGGTGATGGCGGCCAGGAGGCCCTCGGGCAGCGTCGTGGGAATGTCCTTGAGCGATTGCACGGCGAAGCTGGCGGTCTTGGTCAGCAGCGCGCCCTCCAGGATCTTGGTGAAGAGGCCCGAGGCCGTGCTCGTGCCCAGATCGCTCAGGTGGCGGTCCAGCACCTGGTCGCCCACCGTGTCCTGCTGCCCCACGACGAAGCGCAGCGCCGGGAATTTGTCCTCCAGCATGGCGATGACCGTGTTGATCTGGGCCGTGGCCAGCTGGTTCTTGCGCGACGACACGTAGATGGTGCGCTTGAGCGTCTCCGTCTCGGCCGCATCTCAGTCGCAGTCATGGCTGACGATGGAGGTGGTGGTGATGAGGTGATGCAGATGCTGTGCTGACTGTGGTAGAGTGGTGTAGAGTTAGTGTGGTGGTGAGTGCGGGCCAATCAGGAAGCTGGTGGGTGCACCACCCAAATAGACTCGTAACGAGCGCCGGATTGGCCCATGTCGGACATATACAAACTTGAAGTGCGTTTGCTACGTTGTGGGGCTAGACTGAATCCAAGGGGGCTAGTGTGTGCTTTCCGCGCGCTCGATCGAGAATTACTTGAGTCGGAAAAAGTGAGTCGAGACTGGAGTCGCTCTCTAACTTACACGTAGGACCCGTAGTCAACTTTGCAGAGCTGTAGCAAAACAGCTCGGTCACTCGATGTTGCTACTACACAGTACTGAGCTCGAAACTACAGGATGGAACTTGTGCGTGCTATGAGTAAAGAGCACAACAATAGCATCAGCTCTCGTTATCCGCTTGGCTCATCTTACGTCCCAATTTAGGCATCGTTCGACAAACCAAGTCGCTCACTTGACGTACGAAACGATGCCGCTCCGTAGGTGAATGGCAGCCAGAAGGATGAGAGTCGGCTCTGGAAATGGTGTCATCGCGTCTTGGGGCTTTGGACGTCACTTCACGTAGAATCCAAGGATGCTACTCCAGCCAAAGACTCCAGCAGCTGCAATCCTACACGAATGAATTGAGCATCTCTCAATTTGCTTGGTGACGCCACTACCCACATGGAGCAGGAGAACAGTCTCATTGCCAAGACTGCGATCGTCCAGTTTGTCAACAACTACGCCGTTCTCTGCTACGTTGCGCTCCTCATGCAAGGCTTGGAAGGCTGCGATATCAGCTGCATGCACGAGCTCGAGTATATGGTCGCCATCGTGTTCTGTTCTCAGCTGTTCGTCGGCAACATTACCGAGGATACCATCCCGCGCTTGTTCATGTACATGAGTAAGTATCGCCTACTCGGTCACTTGGACGACTACAAAAAATCTGACGCTGAGCGCGAGCTCTTCATGGCCCAGTATGACTGGCATGACACGTTCGATGACTACATTGAGATGGCGCTTCAGTTTGGCTTCACGACTACAATGTTCGTCGTGGCCTTCCCCTTCACGCCTCTGCTATCGTACGTAAACAACTACTCTGAGATTCGTCTGGACGCATATCGCTTGATTTTCGGGTCGCGGCGCCCCCGCCCACGCAATGTGCGCGGTATGAGGGTAATGTACTCATCCATCGTAGTGTGCACCAATGCCACCGTGGTAGTCTTCATAGGCAACTTCTCCAACCACCTGGACACACCGACCCGCGAGTGGATGTTCTAAATATTCATTTGAGGCATGTTCCTGTTCAAGTACTTCCTTGAGGTGTGCATCGATAACGTGACGGTGCAAAAGTACCGCCAGGAATATCAGCAAGTGTCTGTTCGACATGCCCGACGACGACGTCAATTGTCCGATCAGCGACAGAACATGCTCACGATTGATGACGAAGACGCTTCGTGAGCGCAACCCACTTGCATGAAGTTCGTCGTCCAGGTCAAGAAGCTGGCCTGCGTGTTGCTTTCCCTAATGCTTAAACTGTTACTCAAACTGTTACAGTCAATCCCCTCAGTAAGGGCACCACTACCTTCAAATACCCCGTAAAATCAGATTGAAGCGAAGGACATATAACCACTGTTCATTATTTCCGATTCCCTTTCAAATCGCTTCCAAAACCCCACCGCGCTTACTGAGGGGTTCGACTGTACAGTATCAAACACCAAAATGTCGTGTTTCGAAATGATATCTGCGTGTTCAACAAATGGCTACACTCATCATGCTGCTGATTTCGTGCGTTTGAAGGGGTGTTTTCAGCCAATCAGCGCCGAGAAAGGAAGCACGGTCTCGCGACCAGCCCCTAAGCACGCCACTGGTGTTCTCCCGCGGCTGGGCCTTCGGCGGAGCTTGGGATGAGGCGTCAAATGAGCGCTGGCACATCGCTGGCCGCGGGGGATGGTGGCGCTGGGGGGCTTTGGCTCCGACGTCGACAAGGAGGCAGGTGGAGGCGACGAAGACGCTCGTCGCCACACGGACGATAGAGAGGAGAAAACCGCGGAGCCCAACGCCTCGGGCCAGTTCCAGGCGGACGACGGTGCATGGGACGGCTTTGAGACCGCATACAACGTGTACAGACAACGACGGATACATCCGGCACCACTGAATGGCATCCTCCATAGTAAATGTACCAGAATTCTCTGTCGGGAACCATAGATATTGTACAAGGCAATGACATAAAATACATGTAACGGAGCATAAAGTACACACAAATTTAGAGAACGTACTTAAAACCATATGGATTACAAATGTCAAGTGTAAATCTCGAAGATGATTGGCTATCTGAATTTCTTATTGTAAAAAGTACAACATATGTGTGCCGGGTTTTGCGTTGCCGTATTTTATCCGTCGTTGTCTGTAATCCTAATCGTACTACCCAGTGATATTTAAGAGCCTGTTCGCTAGATGGAGACGAAAACCAAAAGTGTGACCGGATTGGTCAAAAGTAGGTAGCACACAACAAGACAACTAGAGATGGCACTGTGAATTCGTCTCCAGCTCTTTGAGGTGGAGAGGGGCGGATCTACCTAGAGATTTACAGGGCCAGGCACTTTCTTATTGTAAAAAGTACAACATATGTGTGCCGGGTTTTGCGTTGCCGTATTTTATCCGTCGTTGTCTGTAATCCTAATCGTACTACCCAGTGATATTTAAGAGCCTGTTCGCTAGATGGAGACGAAAACCAAAAGTGTGACCGGATTGGTCAAAAGTAGGTAGCACACAACAAGACAACTAGAGATGGCACTGTGAATTCGTCTCCAGCTCTTTGAGGTGGAGAGGGGCGGATCTACCTAGAGATTTACAGGGCCAGGCACTTTCTTATTGTAAAAAGTACAACATATGTGTGCCGGGTTTTGCGTTGCCGTATTTTATCCGTCGTTGTCTGTAATCCTAATCGTACTACCCAGTGATATTTAAGAGCCTGTTCGCTAGATGGAGACGAAAACCAAAAGTGTGACCGGATTGGTCAAAAGTAGGTAGCACACAACAAGACAACTAGAGATGGCACTGTGAATTCGTCTCCATCTCTTTGAGGTGGAGAGGGGCGGATCTACCTAGAGATTTACAGGGCCAGGCACAACATGGGAGACGAAGATGCAATTGTCCTCGCTGCGTGCTCCGCCGTGGCACGGCTGTGGCACGGCTGTGGCTTTGTATGCAGACAGTTGTGAACTAGGACCTCCTGCTGGCAAGAAGAACCGTTTTACCGTCACCACTCTGCGCTTCGAGTCGATGCTTCAATCATCAGCCTATTCAAGCTGGTTCGAGACCAATCTGCGCTGTACGAGATCCACCTTCTTCCGTATAGCTAGCTTTCTACAAGAGCATGGGGTCGCTTTTGCACAAGCTAAGGTCAAGAAGCATTCCTACGAAAAGAAGGTGGCAGCGGCGCTGTATTTCCTGGGCTCAGCGGGTGGATATCGCGAGGTGGGAGCTGCAATGGGCATGGCTAGAAGCTACGTCATGGAGATCACTACGGAGGTAGTTCGCGTGCTAAATGCGGTAGCGCCAGCGGTGATTTCTTTTCCGCGCAGTCGGGACGGGTGGACTGCTGTTGAGGACGGCTTTGCATCGCCGTATGGTTATCCAGATGTCGCCGGTGCTATAGATGGCTCTTTGATTGCTATTGAGCGTCCTGAGGACTATGACGGCTTCTACTGCCGCAAGTGCTATCCTGCGCTCAATGTACAGACTATCGGGAGCCCCGACAGGACCTTTATGAGCGTTGAAGTGCGGCCAGGTTCTTGGTCTGACCGAAAGTGCTGGAAATACAGTAGAATTGGTCGGACCGTACACAGCGTGATCCCCGCTGGTATGCACTTCATCGGTGACGCGGGGTATGCCCTGCTACCTGGCCTCATCGTTCCTTACTGGCGGCGTGAAGAAGGAGGAGTGTTAACTCCACAGCAGAAGCAATTCAACTTCCGGCATTCAAGCACTCGAATGGTGGTGGAGAGCACCTTCGGCCTCTGGAAGGGGCGATTTAAAATGCTTCAAGGGGTCCTCAACCAGGAAACACCTCGCACGGCGGCCGAGTTTGTGGTCGCGACGATGGTGCTGCACAACGCCATGATTTTTTTTCAAGACAGCTCGAAAATTAGGCTGTACATGGCGCAAGACGACGAGGAGGAAGCTGCCGAGGATGAAATTATTCCAAGGCACCTGCGCCAAATTGGTAAGGCTAAGAGAAATGCTATTGCTACTCTTATTTGTCACTAAATAGACGGTGCCATTTACCATGGTGATCACTTGTTGGTTTGACTAAATGCTGATCACTTGTTGCTCACTTGTTGTCGAGATCACTCGTTGTTTTTGTTGGCAGCCAAAATGCCAATCAGGCCTTGCAAGGCCTGCGTTTGTGCCTGCACGGTTTACATGAGCTCCTTCATCGATCTCACCATGTCGGCATTGCTGGTATCAGCGACTCTAGCGACTTTGAACGCCTCAGCAATGTTGTTCAGTCCCGCACCAATTGCTCGCATTCCTTCTGCATAGTACTTCTTCTTCTTCTTCTATTACCAGTATTAGTGGAATATTAGTGGAATGCCTTTCGCGGGCTCTTTTGCCAGTGTAACGCTTCCATCCACTGCTATTTTGCCCGCCCTCGTGATCAGCTACATCAATGTCCTCTTCATGCTGTAGCAGCGGCTCAGCAGTAGAGCTCTGGCTGAGCTCCAGTGCAGTCTCGTCCTCCAGCAGTTCAGTGCTTGTTGCATCACTAGAGAAAAGCCGTCCGCATCCATGCCTTCTAAGTCCCCCCACACGTCACGCATAGCCTCGTAGCACCCGGGCTCCTTCAGCGGCTTCTCGGTGGCGTTACCGGTAGCCTCCAGAGCAACACGGTACGCGGTGTACTGCTTGTGCATATGCTTCAGCTACAATAGGATTGAAATGAAGTGAACTCGGTTAGCATTAACAAGTTCCTGTCAATAGTTTGTCATCATACACACCTTTGACTTGCACTGCTCTGCATCAACTTCAAGCCCTCCGAGGCGGAATGTTTCGGCAGCAAGCATTTTCCATGCCGCAGTAAGCTGCTTGGGGCTCCTCGTTCCCTGAAACCAACCTCTCATGGTATCGTAGCGAAGCCGCAACAGCACTTCGGCCGCTCTCGGTGTCCAGGCAAACGACGGCTTGACGTTAGAAGCTCCTTTCAGACGAGACTTGCCTCGGCCCTGTGCTGCTTGCGGTGCGGCCGAGGCTTGCAGACGCTTGAGCATGCGAGATGGAGCGGGAGTAGGCTCTAGCGTAGCAGACATCGCCACTGATACTTGAGGTAGCGGAACAAATGTGGACGCAGTCTCGGACCTTCTAGCAGCAGACCTTCATCACCGGCAGATGGTGTCAGCGAGACGAGGGGCTCGAACGCTGGCGTTTCGTCATGACGTGCGGGGGGCGCAGGAACCGACGAGCCTTGAGCAGCGGCATGTGCCGCACGCGTGGCCGCACTGGTGAGGCGAGTCGGCATTTTCTCAAGTGGGGAGGAGAGCCATCCCATATCTGTCCTGTGATTGGCTTAAAATTTGTCTGGAGATGGATACATAGCGAACGAGCTGTAGGTGGAGATCAAGCACCATCTCCATCTCTAGTACAACGCGAACAGGCTCTAAGCAAGAGCTATCTCAATTCATGAGAACTCCCTTATCCTCCGTCGTAACCGCAAACGTAAATAAGCTAATAAGGACCCATGATGCATGGTACCGCTCCGAGGTTGCACCGCTAAAATTTCACGACGGGGTTGCGTAGCAGTAGAGAATCGTTTACAAGTTCCGAGCGTACAAGAAGGCTATTATAGTCAAGATTTTCTGCTCCACTCTGCTAAAAAAAAAGTAAGATCCAACGACATGAAGGAAACACGGGTTCAAGGTGAAAAGATTGTCTGCATTTTCTCTCAAGTGTATTGCAAGGACGGACTGGTACAGACGATTCGAGAACTTGTCACAGTGTCAACTCCCCGACGGTCTCCATGCACGTGCCGCTGGAGCATGTATCTAATGACCTCTCAAGTGGAATACATAATTATCGACAATCTTACTTTTGTCAGATTCGGACAGCCATTTAACATTCGCCAGCTTTTTCTTGATGTCGGACTCAGTACGGCCGTTCGAGCTCCATTTTTTAAAAAATGAAGTCCACTTTCCTTGTTGCAAGGCTTCGATTTTAAACAGCTTGTACCTCTCTTCGCCGTCATCGACCGTGGCCCGAAGGGATCTCTTGCTCTCAGTGGTGAGGACATCGACCAACGTGTCGAACTCCGCTGCCGCAAACTTCGAGACGGTAGCCTGGTCGGCATCAGTTGCTGCAGAAAAAGCGTTTTCGCTTGCGAGAAGGATGGCAGCAACAGCCACGACGAGGGTGTTGGTTAGGCGCATTGTCGCTTGGTGGTCGGGCTCTTGATAACTGGAAGGAGAAACGCAGAATGAGATTCAAGGTCATCGTGGTCTGGAGACCGTCACAGTGTGATTCGTCAAGTGACGGTAATACATATACTGTACATGTCTATTAACCCGTTGGACGCGGAGAGGTCATTTAAAACGCTTAAACCGTCCCGGACAGCATAAGAAATAATATGTGTTTCAGTATACCATACCGAGTAGAAGAACAAATTTGGACGTTTTTCGCACAGATTGTAGCTAACCTTTCAGGTAATAATTCTCGCAAGGATGATGGGCACGTTCCGGATATTTGTGTGACCCAATCACAGCCAATTGCACGAAGTCACGCAATCCTGATATTGTTGAATTACGGGGAGAGGAACCAGTAGAACTACCAGAACTTCTGCCGAAGAAGTTCTACTGGTTCCAGTAGAACTGGTTCCAGAACTTCTGCCGAAGAAGTTCTACTGATTCCAGTAGAAGTAGACTTCTTCGGCAGAAGTTCTACTGGTTCCAGAACTTCTGCCGAAGAAGTTCTACTGGTCGTGCCCATCATCCTTGCAAGAATTATTACCTGAAAGGTTAGCTACAATCTGTGCGAAAAACGTCCAAATTTGTTCTTCTACCCGGTATGGTATACTGAAACACATATTATTTCTTATGCTGTCTGGGACGGTTTAAGCGTTTTTTAATGCCGTCCATGTCACCCCTCCGCGTTCAAGGGGTTAACCCCTTGGACGCGGAGGGTTGGATAATCACCTGATGCTGTTCAGAACAGCATAAGAATCACTTGGTTTCATTATGTCTCGAAATCCGCAAAATAGGTTCTCGTCCTTTCCCAGAAATCGAAAGAGACTGATTGGTCCACGTGTTCAAAAGGAGACAAACGAATATTTAGTAAAACATATGCCTTGAACTACCGCGTGCAAGGGCGGGCAAAATGTTTTCGGATAAATCATATTTAGGTTCCCCTCTCGAGCTCGGACGCCAGCGGTGCTGTCAGTTGGGGGCGCTGCAGAAGAAGATGATGATGCGGCTTCCGACGAAGGGTCGACGACGGGCGACCCCTACCAACAAAAGCGAGCGCGCACGGCTAGCATCGCGGAGTAAGCAAAGGGTGTGTCCTTGATTCTGTCTCTTTTCAATACATATTGATACATATTGGAGTAAGCAAAGGGTGTGTCCTTGATTGTGTCTCTTTTCAATACATATTGATACATATTGAAAAGAGACAGAATCAAGGACACACCCTTTGCTTACTCCGCGATGCTAGCCGTGCGCGCTCGCTTTTGTTGGTAGGGGTCGCCCGTCGTCGACCCTTCGTCGGAAGCCGCATCATCATCTTCTTCTGCAGCGCCCCCAACTGACAGCACCGCTGGCGTCCGAGCTCGAGAGGGGAACCTAAATATGATTTATCCGAAAACATTTTGCCCGCCCTTGCACGCGGTAGTTCAAGGCATATGTTTTACTAAATATTCGTTTGTCTCCTTTTGAACACGTGGACCAATCAGTCTCTTTCGATTTCTGGGAAAGGACGAGAACCTATTTTGCGGATTTCGAGACATAATGAAACCAAGTGATTCTTATGCTGTTCTGAACAGCATCAGGTGATTATCCAACCCTCCGCGTCCAAGGGGTTAACCCCTTGAACGCGGAGGGGTGACATGGACGGTATTAAAAAACGCTTAAACCGTCCCGGACAGCATAAGAAAAATTATGTGTTTCAGTATACCATACCGGGTAGAAGAACAAATTTGGACGTTTTTCGCACAGATTGTAGCTAACCTTTCAGGTAATAATTCTCGCAAGGATGCATAAAGTACACACAAATTTAGAGAACGTACTTAAAACCATATGGATTACAAATGTCAAGTGTAAATCTCGAAGATGATTGGCTATCTGAATTTCTTATTGTAAAAAGTACAACATATGTGTGCCGGGTTTTGCGTTGCCGTATTTTATCCGTCGTTGTCTGTAATCCTAATCGTACTACCCAGTGATATTTAAGAGCCTGTTCGCTAGATGGAGACGAAAACCAAAAGTGTGACCGGATTGGTCAAAAGTAGGTAGCACACAACAAGACAACTAGAGATGGCACTGTGAATTCGTCTCCAGCTCTTTGAGGTGGAGAGGGGCGGATCTACCTAGAGATTTACAGGGCCAGGCACAACATGGGAGACGAAGATGCAATTGTCCTCGCTGCGTGCTCCGCCGTGGCACGGCTGTGGCACGGCTGTGGCTTTGTATGCAGACAGTTGTGAACTAGGACCTCCTGCTGGCAAGAAGAACCGTTTTACCGTCACCACTCTGCGCTTCGAGTCGATGCTTCAATCATCAGCCTACTCAAGCTGGTTCGAGACCAATCTGCGCTGTACGAGATCCACCTTCTTCCGTATAGCTAGCTTTCTACAAGAGCATGGGGTCGCTTTTGCACAAGCTAAGGTCAAGAAGCATTCCTACGAAAAGAAGGTGGCAGCGGCGCTGTATTTCCTGGGCTCAGCGGGTGGATATCGCGAGGTGGGAGCTGCAATGGGCATGGCTAGAAGCTACGTCATGGAGATCACTACGGAGGTAGTTCGCGTGCTAAATGCGGTAGCGCCAGCGGTGATTTCTTTTCCGCGCAGTCGGGACGGGTGGACTGCTGTTGAGGACGGCTTTGCATCGCCGTATGGTTATCCAGATGTCGCCGGTGCTATAGATGGCTCTTTGATTGCTATTGAGCGTCCTGAGGACTATGACGGCTTCTACTGCCGCAAGTGCTATCCTGCGCTCAATGTACAGGCTATCGGGAGCCCCGACAGGACCTTTATGAGCGTTGAAGTGCGGCCAGGTTCTTGGTCTGACCGAAAGTGCTGGAAATACAGTAGAATTGGTCGGACCGTACACAGCGTGATCCCCGCTGGTATGCACTTCATCGGTGACGCGGGGTATGCCCAGCTACCTGGCCTCATCGTTCCTTACTGGCGGCGTGAAGAAGGAGGAGTGTTAACTCCACAGCAGAAGCAATTCAACTTCCGGCATTCAAGCACTCGAATGGTGGTGGAGAGCACCTTCGGCCTCTGGAAGGGGCGATTTAGAATGCTTCAAGGGGTCCTCAACCAGGAAACACCTCGCACGGCGGCCGAGTTTGTGGTCGCGACGATGGTGCTGCACAACGTCATGATTTTTTTTCAAGACAGCTCGAAAATTAGGCTGTACATGGCGCAAGACGACGAGGAGGAAGCTGCCGAGGATGAAATTATTCCAAGGCACCTGCGCCAAATTGGTAAGGCTAAGAGAAATGCTATTGCTACTCTTATTTGTCACTAAATAGACGGTGCCATTTACCATGGTGATCACTTGTTGGTTTGACTAAATGC